CCTGTGTCAGGATGTGACTAGTGTAGTGTGACTAGTATTTGGGTGTGACTGGTGTGTCTTATGTGCTAGGATATTACAGTTGTCAGGGTATGACTTTTTTAATGTGTGGCTTATGTCAATGTGTGATTAGTGTCAGAGTGTGACATGTGTCCATGTGCGACTTGTGTCAACGCGTGACTTGTGTCATAATGTGAGAAGTGCCAGAGTGCGACATTTGTCATTTGACTAGTGTCATGGCATCTACTTGTATCAGTAAGTGACCTGTGTCAGGATGTGACTAGTGTAGTGTGACTAGTATTTGGGTGTGACTGGTGTGTCTTATGTGCTAGGATATTACAGTTGTCAGGGTATGACTTTTCAATGTGTGGCTTATGTCAAGACATGACATGTGTCAAGGTGTGACTTGTGTCAGAGTGTGACATGTGTCAATGTGTGATTAGTGTCAGAGTGTGATGTGTGTCAAGCTGTGACTTGTGTCAAAATGTGTGACTTGTGTCGTCAGTGTGTGACCTGTCTAAGGGTGTGACTAGTGTCAGGATGTGAATTGTTTCAAGGGGTGTCTTATGTGCAAGGTGATTACATTTGTCAGGGTATGACTTTTTCAATGTGTGGCTTATGTCAAGATATGACATGTGTCAGGGTGTGACTTGTGTCAGAGTGTGACATGTGTCAAGGTGTGCCTTGTGTCAGAGTATGACATGTGTCAAGGTATGACTTGTGTCATAATGTGTGACATGTGTCAAAATGTGAAATATGTCAAGTGGTGTCATAAAATATGACAATGTGAGTAGTGCCAGAGTGTGACTTGTGTCACTGTGTGAGTAGTGCCACTGTGTGACTTGTGTCACAGTGTGAGTAGTGCCACTGTGTGACTTGTGTGACAATGTGACTTGTGTCACTGTGTGACTTGTGTCACAATGTGACTTGTGTCACTGTGTGACTTGTGTCACGGTGTGACTTGTGTCAGAGTGTGACATGTGTCAATGTGTGATTAGTGTCAGAGTGTGACATGTATCAAGGTGTGACTTGTGTCAGAGTGTGACATGTGTCAATGTGTGATTAGTGTCAGAGTGTGACATGTATCAAGGTGTGACTTGTGTCAGAGTGTGACATGTGTCAATGTGTGATTAGTGTCAGAGTGTGACATGTATCAAGGTGTGACTTGTGTCAGAGTGTGACATGTGTCAATGTGTGATTAGTGTCAGAGTGTGACATGTATCAAGGTGTGACTTGTGTCAGAGTGTGACATGTGTCAATGTGTGATTAGTGTCAGAGTGTGACATGTATCAAGGTGTGACTTGTGTCAGAGTGTGACATGTGTCAATGTGTGATTAGTGTCAGAGTGTGACATGTATCAAGGTGTGACTTGTGTCAGAGTGTGACATGTGTCAATGTGTGATTAGTGTCAGAGTGTGACATGTATCAAGGTGTGACTTGTGTCAGAGTGTGACATGTGTCAATGTGTGATTAGTGTCAGAGTGTGACATGTGTCACTGTGTGATTAGTGTCAGAGTGTGACGTGTGTAAATGTGTGATTAGTGTCAGAGTGTGACATTTGTCAATGTGTGATTAGTGTCAGAGCTTGATTTGTGTCAAGGTGTGACTTGTGTCAAGGTTTGACTTGTGTCAGAGTGTGACATGTGTCAATGTGTGATTAGTGTCAGAGTGTGATTTGTGTCAAGGTGTGACTTGTGTCAGAGTGTGACATGTGTCAATGTGTAATTAGTGTCAGAGTGTGACATGTGTGAATGTGTTATTAGTGTCAGAGTGTGACATGTATCAAGGTGTGACTTGTGTCAGAGTGTGACATGTGTCAATGTGTGATTAGTGTCAGAGTGTGACATGTATCAAGGTGTGACTTGTGTCAGAGTGTGACATGTGTCAATGTGTGATTAGTGTCAGAGTGTGACATGTATCAAGGTGTGACTTGTGTCAGAGTGTGACATGTGTCAATGTGTGATTAGTGTCAGAGTGTGACATGTATCAAGGTGTGACTTGTGTCAGAGTGTGACATGTGTCAATGTGTGATTAGTGTCAGAGTGTGACATGTATCAAGGTGTGACTTGTGTCAGAGTGTGACATGTGTCAATGTGTGATTAGTGTCAGAGTGTGACATGTATCAAGGTGTGACTTGTGTCAGAGTGTGACATGTGTCAATGTGTGATTAGTGTCAGAGTGTGACATGTATCAAGGTGTGACTTGTGTCAGAGTGTGACATGTGTCAATGTGTGATTAGTGTCAGAGTGTGACTTGTGTCAAGGTGTGACTTGTGTCAGAGTGTGACATGTGTCAATGTGTGATTAGTGTCAGAGTGTGACATGTATCAAGGTGTGACTTGTGTCAGAGTGTGACATGTGTCAATGTGTGATTAGTGTCAGAGTGTGACATGTATCAAGGTGTGACTTGTGTCAGAGTGTGACATGTGTCAATGTGTGATTAGTGTCAGAGTGTGACATGTATCAAGGTGTGACTTGTGTCAGAGTGTGACATGTGTCAATGTGTGATTAGTGTCAGAGTGTGACATGTATCAAGGTGTGACTTGTGTCAGAGTGTGACATGTGTCAATGTGTGATTAGTGTCAGAGTGTGACATGTATCAAGGTGTGACTTGTGTCAGAGTGTGACATGTGTCAATGTGTGATTAGTGTCAGAGTGTGACATGTATCAAGGTGTGACTTGTGTCAGAGTGTGACATGTGTCAATGTGTGATTAGTGTCAGAGTGTGACATGTATCAAGGTGTGACTTGTGTCAGAGTGTGACATGTGTCAATGTGTGATTAGTGTCAGAGTGTGACATGTATCAAGGTGTGACTTGTGTCAGAGTGTGACATGTGTCAATGTGTGATTAGTGTCAGAGTGTGACATGTGTCAAGGTGTGACTTGTGTCAGAGTGTGACATGTGTCAATGTGTGATTAGTGTCAGAGTGTGACATGTATCAAGGTGTGACTTGTGTCAGAGTGTGACATGTGTCAATGTGTGATTAGTGTCAGAGTGTGACATGTATCAAGGTGTGACTTGTGTCAGAGTGTGACATGTGTCAATGTGTGATTAGTGTCAGAGTGTGACATGTATCAAGGTGTGACTTGTGTCAGAGTGTGACATGTGTCAATGTGTGATTAGTGTCAGAGTGTGACATGTATCAAGGTGTGACTTGTGTCAGAGTGTGACATGTGTCAATGTGTGATTAGTGTCAGAGTGTGACATGTGTCCATGTGCGACTTGTGTCATAATGTGAGAAGTGCCAGAGTGCGACATTTGTCATTTGACTAGTGTCATGGCATCTACTTGTATCAGTAAGTGACCTGTGTCAGGATGTGACTAGTGTAGTGTGACTAGTATTTGGGTGTGACTGGTGTGTCTTATGTGCTAGGATATTACAGTTGTCAGGGTATGACTTTTCAATGTGTGGCTTATGTCAAGACATGACATGTGTCAAGGTGTGACTTGTCAGTATGTGACATGTGTCAATGTGTGATTAGTGTCAGAGTGTGATGTGTGTCAAGCTGTGACTTGTGTCAAAATGTGTGACTTGTGTCGTCAGTGTGTGACCTGTCTAAGGGTGTGACTAGTGTCAGGATGTGAATTGTTTCAAGGGGTGTCTTATGTGCAAGGTGATTACATTTGTCAGGGTATGACTTTTTCAATGTGTGGCTTATGTCAAGATATGACATGTGTCAGGGTGTGACTTGTGTCAGAGTGTGACATGTGTCAAGGTGTGCCTTGTGTCAGAGTATGACATGTGTCAAGGTATGACTTGTGTCATAATGTGTGACATGTGTCAAAATGTGAAATATGTCAAGTGGTGTCATAAAATATGACAATGTGAGTAGTGCCAGAGTGTGACTTGTGTCACTGTGTGACTTGTGTGACAATGTGACTTGTGTCACAGTGTGAGTAGTGCCACTGTGTGACTTGTGTCAGTGTGAGTAGTGCCACTGTGTGACTTGTGTGACAATGTGACTTGTCACAATGTGACTTGTGTCACTGTGTGACTTGTGTCACAATGTGTATAGTGCCATTGTGTGACTTGTGTCACAATGTGACTTGTGTCACTGCGTGACTTGTGTCACTGTGTGACTTGTGTCACTGTGTGACTTGTGTCACAATGTGACTTGTGTCACTGCGTGACTTGTGTCACTGTGTGACTTGTGTCACAGTGTGACTTGTGTCACTGTGTGACTTGTGTCACTGTGTGACTTGTGTCACAATGTGAGTAGTGCCATTGTGTGACTTGTGTCACAGTGTGACTAGTGTCACAGTGTGACTTGGATGATGTCTGGTGCTGAAGCACTTCATGTTGAACCGTTGCACCTAGGATCGCCGTTTACACACTTTGACAGGATACAGCATATGACGGGTGTCACGTGTGGTTAAGGATCGCTGTCCCACTTCAGTCAAAACACTTGAAAGTATTATTCATACACACAGTAACCTCCCCTTAATGTTGTTGTTTAGGATATTAACAAAGTCTGGACTAGTCAGGGAATTACAGCTGATAGGTACATAGCTCTGTTTGTCAGAGCAGAGTGTATTGTGATTGGAGGTCCGGGGTGAAAAAAAATTCAAGTTCATAGTTACAGTTTTTGGCAGTGGTATGGGGATCTTTAATGATAAAAAGGTGGCCAAGGGGTTAAGGCGTCTGGCATTCTGCTACCACCAACCCTCCACCAATGGGTCGCAGGTTCGAGACCTACGTGGGGCAGTCGCCAGGTATTGTCCATAGGTCGGTGGTTTTTCAGCGGGAACTCCGGCTTTCCTCCACCACCAAAACCTGGCATGTCCTTAAATGACCATAGCTGTTACAGTAATAGGACGTAAAACACAAACAAACCAAATATTATGATACAGCATGTTCTGCTTTTGGCCCAAGATTTCATGATAATGTATTTACCTTTTTGTCTTTTTGTATCAACCTTCCGTTTAGTTTTGTCGTTATTGTGATTCTATTTTCACTTCCAACCAATCAAACAATAAAAAGACACAAAGTCTTGAATATTGTTTATATCTTTTATTTTCTTACAAAATACAAATTAAGTTAATGTACTAACAGATTTGAACAGATCTATCTTCTAGCTACCAACTCGGACGGATTCCCTCATGACTAATAATTCTTATTTCACTTGCAGGGGTGGTTTGAGTAAATATTATGAATGAATATTACATAAATGATGAAGTAAAATCCAAAAAATATTCTTTATTTTTCTGCAAAATCTACAGTATATTTTCAAGGCAGTTTCACTAGCACAGATCTACAACTGTCTTTGGACTACTTCTATATCACTAGGCAATTCAACCTTTCAAGCTACAAGAAAATTCATACAGGTTTAAAGGCCAAACAAAATATTTGTTAGGTTCCTGCTTACGGCTCGCAAAAAATCCAAGTAGTTCGGTGAACGAAAACGTTACATTTGACCAAAAAAACTTTACAAAGGCTAGATAGAGGATATTTCACGTTTCTGAAATCCTGTGAGGGTAGACACAAAAATTTATGGTATAATCAGAAACAATGAATTATTTTTTGTGGCCTAACTGCAACACACTGTAATTTCATAACCGAGGCTTTAGCACTATAAACCATTTAGAGTTACTGATTTGGTGTGATATCTTACAGTGATAAAACCAGCTGCTAATTTATTCATAAATTCATAAATTGAACATCTGTTCAAGAAATCATGACAATAAATCTTCATAAATGATGTTGGGATGACATCAGAGACGATATCAATAAATACAAAATGTATAATATATATTCAAATATATAAAGACGGAAACATAAAAATTCTACAAATATCACAGTTGACGAACACATTACATCCTTGGTAAGGATCAATGGTTACACACACACTAGAATGTATAGTAGCAACGACAGGTTAGGACACGATGCCAGCAGAATTCAATTTCGATTTGAGAATGACCGATGCTGCCGGACATCTTTTCTGGTAATGATTTGAGAATGGCCAAAACTACCAGTGGACGGACAACTTTTCTTATTGTGTAATGAATCAAGAATGGACAGTACTGGCAGACATCTTTTCTTGTATTAAAAAAAATGTCAATAAAAGGTATTGACTTTCCTGAAATCTATTAACTACGATAAGCTATAATTTTCTAACGTCATGTAGAACAGGTCATTTAGGCTGACTATGTTTTGTAATGCTCATATGAAACAGCTCTCCGAGATCCGACACTTCAGTTTAAATATGGGAACAAATCAATGGAGAAAAGTTAAATTGAAAAACATTTTGTCACTCCTGTCAGTGTATTCCAGGTATTGTGATATAGATGCCTAACTGCAGTGACAGACAAAATGTTCCATATGCCTAACTGTTGTGTCATACAAATTGTAATTAAGGAACATTTTGTCACTCCTGTCAGTGTATTCCTGGTATTGTCACTCCTGTCAATGTATTCCAGGTATTGTGATAGATATGCCTAACTGTTGTGATAACTGCTGTAGTTTCTCCTCGTACAAAACGTTTTTCTCCACCGACTGTTTGTAATTATACTTCAAGTCTTCAACTTCCTCGAAAAAGTCTGGACCAAAGTTGTCAAGCTCTTTCTTTAACTGGAAAAGAAAGAATATGACAAATTATCATTTTAGATTTTGTAATTATAGCACATGTATTGAACATCAAAGCGAAAATTATTGTAAAATATTCTTTGGAAGAAAATCAAAATATCATGTAAATATCTGTGGAATGAAAAAGGAAATGAATGAAATATATATTGATAGTACAGATTATGCAAATAAAGTGAGAAATTTTTTGTAGCAGTTTTCGCCTTGGAAACTAATGGAACCTCATACATTCCACCCAAGAATTCAGTCCAAATATCACTATTGTTTGAATTTTTCAGAATAATATGAATGCTTTCTAATCCTTATGAGAAATATTTATTTGATCGATGTTAGATATTTGGACTTGGGTCAAAGATTAAATCATATGACTGCACCACCCTGGCTAATTTTGTACCCAGAAAGTCTGAAATATAAAACCTGGTTTATGTTTAATTACCCTCTGACAACTGAATAAAGGAGGCATTAACAAAAGCTTTCTATCCTCTCTTACTCCCCCCCCCCCCCCAAAAAAAAAGGAAAAGATCTCTGGCTGAAAATGATCAATATACGGATAAGAGAGCCTCAACCTTAACGCCAGATTAGACTAGAAAATGTCTGTAAGACATGAACGCCCCCGAAACACAACGATGTCCAAGGTATATTCATGCTTGATCTTTGTATAAAGTTTGACGAAAAAGTCTGTTAAAAAGGATGAAGATGCTTTTAGTGTTTACATTGAATCAGGACGGGACGGAACGGGATAGGACGGGACGGAACGGGACGGAACGGGACGGAACATGGGCAACATTATATGCCCCCCCCCTTCTTAATTTAATATGTTTATGTTTATTTCAGTATTGATGACTGAGGGGGTTGGTGTCACACACTGTTTATACACACCCTCTCCGTTTCCAGTCGCTGTCTGTTTTTATCTGTCTCTATAGTTTTGAGATTCATCTTTAGTTCCACATTCTCGTTCATCAGACGATCATAGGCGCCGATTTTGGCAAGCATTTCTTCACTCGGCTGAAAATTTCAAGATTCGTGTTAACTTGTGAGGCACAAAAATGAAGCTATAAAAATATTTCACAAATATATATTCAGATACAAATAGCAAAGAAACATACAGATGTTGTCATTCCTTTTGCAAATTCAAATCCTTTCAAATATGTCGCTGGCAGAGTAAATTTGCAAAATGAGGATCATTGTAAATAAAAGCAATATCTAAAATTATCCTCAAATACAATTTACCGGTAATCTAAATGTGTTTCAATTCTGCTTTGATGACCAGCACTTTGATGTAAAGTATTATTATGAAATAAGATTTTATTTAAATATGCAATTACTTCAGGAGCTTCATTCTCCCTATTTAGATTTAACATTTTAAAGATCCCCGTACCTAAACACTGTAACTACGCTTTGGAAACTGATTTTTCATTCTGACATAAATATAGCTTTTGATAAATCATTTCTGAAAAGAAAATCATACCTTGCAGGACTTTAATAAATTTTTTTTTATTAAAGATGAAATCAACAAAAGTGTTCCGAGTGTAAAAATTCAGCAGGGCTTGATCGGAATATAAACTCTGTTTTTAAAAATTGTTATACTATAGCTCTGACCGACTCCTGGATAATCCTGGAGGGGGCCATGGGCCTTTGACCCCTACAAACTGAAATTGACCCCTCCATGTTCCAATTTTACATAGAATGTAAAATTTGATATTTACTAAAAATTGCTGAAATGGTCCACTGCACTCAAATTCCTGGTATTTCTTGGAGACTAATTATGAGCTACCAGGTCAACAAAAGTGTCCTTGCTCAACTGTGCTTCAGTTTTCGCAAAAACAAAATCAAGGAGAAGCTACTCTGTTTATACGGAAAAAAAACCCCACTGTGCAGTAGGACACTGGGATCCTTAAAAGTTTATTTAGGATGTACTGGTACTAATTATTTTGTGACAATTTTAAGGAAGCACGGTAATAAATAACTCAAGTCAGGGCGTTTTAACTGTAACATTTACCTGTTCACCTCCTTGTCTCAGAAGCTGTAGCTGATAATTCAACTCCTTCTTCTCGTTTTCTAATCTGTCAACTTTTAACCTGGAAAAAATAAATCAACACGTTAGATTGATGAGATCTAATAGTCAATATTAAAGTTTGTAAATCATGCATATTTCCCCAGCAGCCTGGTACTGCTTTGATTGAACTAAATACAAAGCCTATAACCAAAGAAATTAAACTGACTGTCAGGTCTTACCAGTGTCAGTGAGGTAGAAAATGAACTACATTTGCTGTACTGGTGTACATTGAGTTTTCTTATCTAAACAGCCTGACACATACTGTATAATAGGAAATGTTCGCAGCAGTTTAATTTTCGTCCTTTCACCCGCCGTAATGACAGAGAATTTATCATTACAGTGAAATAAACACTGGGGGAATATAGATTATTATGGTGAAGGACAAAAAATTGACTGGGTGAATATTTCCAGGTGTACAGTTGCTCGACTGTAAACGATGTGTATGCCAATTTTATTATCTGGTACCAAACCCCAACCTCCGAAAATAAAAATTGAAATCTAGAAGCTCTGTGGTGCTATTTGGTGGCTTTTGAGAGCAATATTTGAAAGTTTAATTTATTCAGAATTTAGGTTTTCCTCTTAATTTTTGGCTTCAGAGTCTCTGAAAAGAGAAAGAAGCTGATGTGCTATTGGTATTATTGAAAATAATTCTTGCCACAAAAAATGTCTAAAAATAAAATCAACATTCAGTACCTCGTGTCTGCCAACACGGCAGACATTATGAAATTCTATGATTTATCATAATGAGGAAAAAAGCAGCTAAAATTTAATATTTTGTTTTTTAATAACATAAAAATGTTATCAACATTTTGGACTATAAACCATAAAAGAAAATAAAGCTAGTAATTTTGAGGATTTTTGATGAGCATGCTAACTTGCTTACATGGCAGCTATGTACCTGACTGAAGGGGTCACTTGTTACGGACTCCTAGAGAAAGTTTAGAGACAGTCTTGTGCTTTGCTGGTTTAACAAATATAAAAGTCTTACTTGTGTCAGGGACAAGTGACCAGATTTTATTGTTCTAATGTTCTTACATTTTCCAAATATCTTGTCCTCTACACAATCTTGCAGATCTTACACAATCTATAAAAGGATTATGAGATTTGACAATTATAGCTGCACATTGATACTATCGATACCATTGATAATTTGCATTGCCACTCATGTATCGCGATACTATAACACTGGTGGTGCGCTGCCTAAAACTTTGACTCGAAAGAGTTACGTCCCTTAACCGAGGCTCTTTTATCGTACCAATATGGCTACAGTACAGACCTGAGTTGTTGATTTTCCCTTGCTGCTCCTCCCTCCGACCGCTGACCATCAGCAGGGAATCGCTCCAGTATTGCCAACTGGGTGTACAAAACATAACAGTGTTTAGTAACCAAAGTCTACTCAAAGTAAATAACATATCAAATTTCAGACATATGTATATACCATCTCATGGCATTGCCACTATATGTAACCCAACCAAATTCAGTTGGCATACATAAAAGCTATGAATGCCATGGACTGATTATTAACATCATCATTATTATGATGTCATAATTGTTACATTGGATACCACTGACCCTCCCTGAGCGATGGCTGTTCTATTCATTGAACAAGCATACACAATACAATGGTCTGGGGTGGATGTTGCGGTATCTGTGATGTAGCATTCAAGTGAGGTGGCACTATAAAAGATGCCGTTGGAAGCACGGTCCCACTACAAACAGAACACAATACATCTCCAGCACACACGCAGGCATACACTGCATAGGACTAGTAGTTAGCGCCTGATAATAAATTGTATATCCTAATTGTATATCTATGTACTGTAAAGTCTTAGAGTGGCTTATGTTAGCTAGATAGGGCGTTATATCAAATGTTGTATATTATCATTATTATTATTACATACATTATTTAGCACATTTCATTGAATGAAAGCAGTGCGATGTTTAAGTGATCCATTGAGATGGGAACATTATCATTCCAGATCCTGTGGCGTTAATAAATTTAGAGTACAACATTTCCCTTGGAAGGAAAGCCAGTCCATCACTTCCCAACATGTTTATTTATACAGCTGGGTAAACTGTGAAAATATAGGTCAAATGAATGTTCAACGACACAACATACAAAGTTCAGCATTATTTGTTTGACTTTACACATTACATAGATATAGTCTCAAAAGTCAAAATGTTGAATTGGGATATTATGGAGAGTCAACGAGAGCCAACTAAAACAATACCGATGTATTATTGGAACTGTTTTATAAAGGAGGTAATATTAAGATAGCATATCGACTTAAGTACACAAAAGAAAAGAAGTCAAGCAACCAATATCTGTTGTTGTATTATTGGAACTTCTTTATAAAGGAGATAATAATAAGATAGCATGTAACCTTAAGTTCACACAAACAAAAAGAAGCCAAGTGACCAATACCTGATGCTGTATTATTAGAACTCTTTTATAAAGGAGGTAATAATAAGATAGCATGTAGCCTTAAGTTCACACAAACAAAAAGAAGTCAAGTGACCAATACCTGATGTTGAATTATTAGAACTCTTTTATAAAGGAGGTAATAATAAGATAGCATGTAGCCTTAAGTTCACACAAACAAAAAAATAAGTCAAGTGACCAATACCTGATGTTGTATTATTAGAACTCTTTTATAAAGGAGGTAATAATAAGATAGCATGTAGCCTTAAGTTCACACAAACAAAAAAATAAGTCAAGCAGCCAATACCTATTGTTGTATTATTTGAACTCTTTTATAAAGGAGATAATATTAAGAAAGCTATTGCCTTAAGTACACAAGCAGCCAATACCTGTTGTTTGAGACCCTCCCTCTCCTGTAGAAGATACTGCTCCCTCTCTGCAGCTTCCTTCAGCAGTGATTTCACATCCTCCAGCATCTTGTTCTACCACAATCAAACAGGACAACATTTAATGAAGTACAGCCAAGAGACTACCCCTATCAAGCAATCCCTGGCCTCGTTCTTCAAACACCACTATTTTTTCATCCCCCAAAAAGCACTTTACTGTTCCATTAATGTCCATCTCTGTTAATAAGACACCATTGTATTAGCCTTCCCTTGGGGGAATTCTTATTACTAATTGGCTGTACATTTGAATGTAAACAAATCAACAGACAAAAGATCTGTTTTAAGATACAGTAGAAACATAACAGCCTGGATTCTTTTAATTTGGAATACATATTCTTCAAATACATACATCAAGATAGCATTAAAAGTTTTATAGTGATGAGTCTGTTTTTATTGATAGCCTTGTTTTTTTCAAAACAATTTTGCTCTTGCAACAAATGCAATATAAAATTATGTAACAGTTCCTCAAAAAAGTAAATCTTCTACCTTACCAAATCAGTTACCTCGAAGAATATGGTTCCTCAATGAAGAAAAGCTCTCATTTATCAAATTAATTGATTACCTTTTTGCTGACGTCTGCCTCCAGGTCCTTCAGTTTCCCCTCGTACATACGTGTGACAACCGCTGACTTCCAGCCCTTGGAATCCATTGTGGTTTGTAGCGTGGGTCTGTCACCTCCTGTTGCGGATATTGACCGAGCCTCACTTAGCTGGGCCCCTATCTGTTCTTTCTGTAACTCTAGGTTACGAATGTCCACTCTCAGCTTCTCATTGGTCTCCATCTCCTACAATCACCATGACAACGTAAGACCTCATCTAGTCATATAAACGCTTTACCAAATAGCAGTCAGTAATGACATTTCTGACCGGGAAAACCAATAAATATTGACCTACATTTTTGGATGGTTTTCGGGTACGTAAATTTGCTAACCGGAATGTACTCGTAACGGAACCTCAACTGGGTACTCGGTTACCCATTCCAGCCCTAGTTATTAGTTTATGAAATAGGGATGAATCTAGTGATATGCTGTTGTTATTTTTCTGGCAAGTTTAAGTAAGTAGACAAAACCGTATAGAGTCATACAAATAATAAAATATCACAGATTAAGTTTTGATTTAACGTATTTCAGATGGTTCGACTGGCTGGATCAAAAAGTTATTAAGTGAATGATACAGATGAAACTGATGTTATGATGTGTTTTGGGCAAGTACCAATATATAGACAAAACTGTCAAAGAAACAACTAGAAAACATCTGTAATACACTGCCCTGTGGATGATCCATAAATAGCAATAGTGACCTTGACATTGACCTTGGGACACAGAAATACTTGACCTTTGCATAAATTTGATAAAAAATCTGCTGCGAAATGTAGTCGGTAGAGATACGACAATAAATCATAAGAGGAAGGGACCTATGACATAACAGGGTTACATTCTCTCTGTCTGTTACAGATTAACTTCCAATTGCTTCTGGTCACTTTTGTATATTGCAAAGATAATATGAATTCAAAGGGTGCTTGTAGTATATTTTTCTACTGTCTTACAAACATAGGACTAGGGGTGTTGAAGGACAATTTCAGGCCTCATCAGTTGTTATTACGATAACCAAGTACACAAATATGAATTTTAAATTCCTTTACAAATGGTATAGAATATATGGTGGAATAAACAGAGGTATATAAGTCCATATTTATTCACAATAAAATGTGTGAATATTGTCTATTGTGTGCTATGTATATTGACAAGAGGCCCAATGGGCCTGAATCGCTCACCTGGTATTAATCTCACAAATAATCTTTAAAGTGGACTTAAATACAGCTACAGGCAGAATATGTGTTTGACTCATAAGAACCTATTAAAAGATTTAAACATATGACGCCTGTGACCTTGAATGTCGAACAAGGACATAAGGTTGAACAGAGTTTATAGTCGTCCAACCAAGCATGTTTCTGGCAAAATATCATTACCCTGGACCTTTTGGTTATACAGAACAAGTCATTTAAAGATTTAAACATATATTGACAACTGTGACCTTGCATATGGACAATATATCATTTGAAAAAACGGGTAGTCCTTAATCCCAGAATGTTAATGGCCAAATATCATCACCCTTAGCCTTTTGCTTATTGAGAAGAGGTCGTTTATAAAGGTTTTAAACATATTTGACTCCTGTGACCTTTAATATATGTCGAGGTCATTCGTTTGAATAAACTTGGTAGTCCTTCATCCTAGCATGCTAAAGGCAAAACAGCATCATCCTAGGACTTATGGTTATTGAAAAGATATTGTTTAAAGGTTTTAAACATATTTGACCATTGTGACCTTGAATAATTGTCAAGGTCATTCATTTTAACAAACTTGGTAGCGCTTCATCCCAGCATGCTACAGGCCAAATATTATAACCCTCAGCCTCTTGGTTATTGATAAGAAGTAATTTTAAAGGTTTTAAACATATTTGACCCTTGTGACCTTGAAAATGGGTGAAGGTCATTTGTTTGAACAAACTTGATAGCCCTTCATCCCAGCATGCTAAAGGCCAAATATCATCACCCTAGGCCTCTTTGTTTTTCAGAAGAAGTCGTCCCTTAGCCTTTTGCTTATTGAGAAGAGGTCGTTTATAAAGGTTTTAAACATATTTGACCCCTGTAGCCTTTAATATATGTCGAGGTCATTTGTTTGAATAAACTTGGTGGTCCTTCATCCTAGCATGCTAAAGGCAAAACAGCATCATCCTAGGACTTATGGTTATTGAAAAGATGTTGTTTAAAGGTTTTAAACCTATTTGACCATTGTGACCTTGAGTAATTGTCAAGGTCATTCATTTTAACAAACTTGGTAGCACTTCATCCGAGCATGCTACAGGCCATATTTTAAAACCCTCAGCCTCTTGGTAGTTCAGAAGAAGTTGTTTAAAGGTTTTAAACATATTTGACCCCTGCAACCTTGAAAATGGGCGAAGGTAATTTGTTTGGACAAACTTGGTAGCCCTTCATCCAAGCATGATACTGGCCAAATATTATCACCCTTAGCCTTTTAGTTACTGAGAAGAAGTTCTTGAAAGGTATTTAACATATTTGACCCCTGTGACCTTGAAAATAGATGAAGGTCATTCATTTGAACAAACTTGGTAGCCCTTCATCCAAGCATGTTACTGGCCAAATATCATTATCCAAGGCCTTTTGGTTATTGTGAAGTTGTTTTAAGGTTTTTAACATGTTTGAACCCTTTGACCTTGAAAATAGATGAAGGTCATTCGTTTGAATAAACTTGGTAGCCCTTCATACCAGCATGTTACTGGCCAAATAACATTATCCTTTCCCTCTGTGGTATTCAGAAGAAGTTGTTTAAAGGTTTTAAGCATATTTGACCCCTGTGACCTTGAAAATGGGTGAAGGTCATTTGTTTGAAAAAACTTGGTAGCCCTTCATTTCAGGATGTTACTGGCCAAATATCATCACCCTAGGCCTTTTGGTTATTCAGAAGAAGTCGTTCAAAAAATTTAACATATTTGACCTATGTGACCCGACTTCAAAGCCTGTCAAATTTTACCGTTACGCTACCGCGAGATTTTTTTGATGTACATCAAAGGATCAGACTAGCCTTCTTGTCTCATCGATAAGGTGGCGCACACTGAGCCTTCAATTTTGCTGTGACATATTCCAGGGGTGTAGAGAGCGAAAGTGAGCATAACCCCTGGATATTGCGGTGTGGTAACCTATGATGTTTATAAAAGAGATTGATAATTGGTAGGATTTTATGGTGTATTTACCTTAATCAGGTCCTTCCTCATTTTCTCATAGTCAGACATCATCTTGGCGGTCCCTTTCTGAGTACTGGTGTACCTTTCACTCAGGGTGGCGCCCATCTTCTGTCGCAATTCGTCAAGCTGGGACTGAAATTGAAAGTTTGATTGAAAATGACTTATCATGATAATAAATTTAGGATATTCACCTCAGTTTAAATAAAGGTGGTCTCTTCACATACTTAAATTTTACATTTAAGTTTGGCCAAAACTTTTTTTATAGAATGAGCGTTTTTCAGAATTCCTCCCCTATACCTGCCAAGTCTCCTATATTTGTCAAACTACAAACTCTATGTATTGTAGTATGTTTATGTATCTCATCAACATGCACCACATTTTCCAACAATGAATATGTTTAAAATTCACCTGATTTAAGCCTTAAATATAAAAACACTAAGAAAAGATATACATGTACAAGCATATTACAAGAAAATCAGTAAAACTGATGTATCATGCTCCCGGAAAAAGTCACCAAGATTGGAATAATATGTGACCTCAATGAGACTTTGACCTTACATGCACAGACCAAAAAGGGGCACACAGCTCGCTGCCGTCTCATCCTACATAAATCCCTAAAATTTCATCAAGTTACATTGGTGAGTCAGAAGTCATTGTCAAGACGATGAAATGACCTTTGACCCCAATATTTTTTTTAGCGAAATAAAATGGAAAATTCTGATAGGTTGAGTTCAATCAAAGATAGCACTGTGAGAGACATGGTGCTGAATGTGATCAAAAATACAAAGAATTTTGGGTAATATTAGTTATAAATATATCTACCTTGAGTCCTTCGTTCTCCAGCCGGAGACTGGTGAGCTGTGTGGCAGCGTTCGATCCACGTTTAAGTTGTTCATTCTCGATCTGGACACGCTCCACCACCTTTTTGAGAAGTGCGACGGTTTTCTCCAGTTCACGAGTACTTTTACCACTGTCTCCGATCTGCGTTTAAAAAGCCCTTGTTTCTTCATTTAAACTATGATAATGCATCTATCTCTTCACAATTGGGGATTCAATTCAACCAAATGCAGTTTACAAAATGCTAACAGTTAAATGCTAACAGATGAAATCCTCTGTTTTTAAGTGGGAGGAGATTGGGGCCAGTTGAGCGATTTTTAAACTGTTTAAATGTAACAGCACCAGGAAAATGATTTATTGCTTTCTACATAATGTATACATCTCTCTCCACCATTGAAATAACGTGATAGAATTTAACATTTTAAATTAGGCATTTTTTCGGAATGCCATAGTAAGTTTTAACTTCTAGACCTATTTTACTACCAGTTTTATAAAGCACAATAGAGTTACCTCGACATGTTGTTAAAATTCAACAAAAAGAATAAGAGCGAAAACCTCTGTTTAAATGAATTTCAACATCTTTCATGGGGATAAGAACATAAATATAAATTGATAATCTTTTTAGTTTCAAATTTATTGACCAGTAATTAGTTTACTCTCCTGCATTTTATCTTTATGTCTATTTGTCATCTGACTCTACAATAACCATAAAAAGATAAAGTGTTGGATGCCGAATCAAAACCTAAAGCAATCCCTGGCTTGACACTTAGAAATACCATGGAGAAATTAAAATCAGCCTGTGTGTGATCAATCACAGAGTTGCCTCCCCTTGTGGTTGCTATGGTGACTTACCCTTCGTATGCCACTGGAGCCTGAGGAATCTAGAGACCGAGTTGTGCTGTTACCTCCCAGCTGTGAATTCTCTAACTTCAAGGCTTCAACATATTTCTGCAGATCTTTAATTCTCTCCTGAAAGGAAGACGGACACTTTGTCAGACTGATAAATAAATAGACTTGAAAATTTCAGCTGTGATTCCATTTTAACCTGTATTGTTGGTGAATTTGAAGTTTAGAGAAGTTTCTAAGATTTTACTTTTGTAAAAATGTTTGCAGATGGGCTAAATTCACAAGAATATCGCATCACTGGAAAAGCCAGCTTGTAAGTATTAAATTCCTTAGCTGTTAGACTAGGTACTGCAGGACACTTCAAGTCCCACATAAACCACACCATTTAAACATTTGAGCTAATTATACTTTGTGAATTCCGTGTTTTGTCTACTCAATTGGTTTACCTTAAGTCTAGGTGTATCCTTTCTTAGCTGTTCCGATTCAAACTTGAGTTCGATATTTTCCTCCGACAGAGTCAGAACCTGTCGCTGTAGATTCTGGTTCTTTTCAAAGAAGTCCTGGTATTCTTTGGCACCGAAGGGAGAGACAGTCTGACTGGGCTCCTGGAGAAAACATGGAGATATTGATTCAGGGTGTATTTCGACCTTACTTTTATGTAAATTTGCATTCATTGTTGATCGTGAATTCAAGTATCAAAATGTGAACAATTACTGTACACAAGGAAATTTTGCTGCAGTTTAATTTTTGCCTTTTTTTCCTGGGTATTGAGGATAAATTCATTCTTACAGCGAACATTTGATAACAACTTAATAACATACATAGTAATAAAAGGTGAAGAGCGAATTTAATATTGGGCGAAAATGGATTTTACAATCGAATAGCGAAAATTTGACGAGGAGAAAAATTCCCAGTATACAATATTCAAATAGAATGCAAGTGGTGATGGGCTGATAATTGATTATAATAAAAAAGAATGATCAATTTGCCTTTTCTGATTCCGATAATCGACTACAAATTGCATAATGGATATAATCGGCTCATTATTGCAAAGAACATATTACTCCAGGTAATTATTTTTAAGTCTATAATTCTGCCACGATCTTGGCTCTATATCTGTTGACACTGAGGCCGAGGTTAATTTGTTTTTTTAAAGGCCAGAGGTTGTAAATCTGATAGTTTACATAATATGTCCAACAGAAATGTACAACAACACCAAAAACACCCTACAAATGGGATGTATTAACTTCTTTTTGCATTGGCTCAGAATTAGTAATAGTTCATAATGTTTCCATAAACAAAAAGACACAAAGGACCTGTAATTTCGCTTTTTTGAACCATGAATAGTCATTTGCTTGTGGTTTTATATGAAACAAGTTCTTGCACACTTACTGCTGATGTGATGGAAGACTTGTGTGCGACCACCTGCTCCATCTGCTCCAGCTGCTGAGACAGGTAAGTGTTTTTCACCTGCAGCTCCTGGAAGGCGGCATCTTTACCCAAAGCCAGTTGTTGACGCAGACTGGATACCTGAGAGAAAAAAGGACAAAACGTTGGCAAAAAGGAAAAACCGTTGAGAAGAAAGGAAATGCAAAATTGCATATGCCGAAGTGCTTAATTTTAAAATTGATGGCAATGTGAAATGTTTTTATCGATGTACATAGATTCCCACAGCTTCAGAGGGAGATCTTGATTTATAATAATATCATTATTTTTTGTTTTTTGTAATTTCTCGCTCAAATAGGATCACTTTTGTATTGGTCAGGATTTCACGGAAATAATTCTCACCTCTTCTTGGAGTTGAAAGTTCTTGGTGCGGAGAGCCTCCATCTGGTGATCTGCCTTGCCGTGGGCTCCTGATGGTCCGGTGGGTCCCGCGGGTGCTGCAGCTGCTGCCCTCTGCAGGTTGAAATTTTTCCTCTCCAGGCCCTCCTTCTCACGTATCGCTCTAAAACATACCAGCCATTTATATTTTCTAAAAATGTACAAAAAGACTTAATTTGTGTGGCATATATATATCCCATTATTAAGTATCTGAATCCTCAACATGCATTTTCCATTTTTCAATGCAACAGGATCACAACCAGACATAGATCCTTTAATATTTACATCTAGTTTAGAAAATATTTCTTTCAAACCAATACATAAATTCTTCTCACCTATCAGTGAATTATGAATGATAAATCTTGAATTTTAATTATTGGTAGTATAGTAAAATACCTTTTGCTTCATAAGCCACAAGGCTTCATTTCTATTTTTTCTGAATAATTCCTTTTAATATACATCTCCCTCATAATTATCACAAAACCCTCTGTTATACTGAAATTTTGTTTGACGAATTGTTGGCAGTACAGCTTCCTTTACCACACAGAAAAAGGACGAAAAACTTAAGCAATGACTCTTTTTTTTTCTCAAGAAGAAATTTGTCGGGGATTACGGTAAGTAGATGTACCTGTCTAGCTGGTCCCGGAGCATCTGTGACATCCTCTGCATCTTCTCCACCTCCGCTTCTCTCTCTCTAACTTTACCTTTCATTTTCTCTACCGTCTTCTGCCATTTCTTACTCTCTTCCCATTTAATAATTTCATCCGACTTGGGAAGAAGAAAAAAATACATTTTGTACAGTTAGAGACAGAAACCCCAAGAACTCGATGAAATTAAAAGAAAGCTAATTAAAGTCGTCCAAAAACAACAAGAATTTTGAAAGAAATCTTTTCCTTCATCATAAAAATTCAATCTTTATACCTTCCTGAAATAAAAATACATCTATTAGAAAATTAACATTTCTTTTTGGAAAAGTTCATTTCACTTTGTGATATATCTCCTGGAGTAAAACTGAGTAGAAAAAAGAAAGATGTGAATACTTTTATGTTAGATAACTTCTTAGGAAACAATTTCCAATTTACTTGAGTGACCTTAACCTAATCTATTAAGAGTGACCTTGACCTTAAAGATATTACCTTCTCTCTAGGTGTGACCTTCGGCGGAGCAGGAGCCTCTTTTTGACGTTCGTAGGGTTTCTCCGGTTGCTGTTGTTTACGTTTGAGTTCATCCTCAAGGAGTCGTACCCTGCGTCTCATTTCATCGTACTCCTGTTGTCTGGCGTTGTCTCCCGATTTCTATAAATACACCAACAGTGAAAAGTGAGACATGTTCGTAAATTAGGGAATTCACAAGCTAATTTAGAATAATTACAGAGATGAAAATCAGTTCTTCATCTATTTCCTAAACCCTTCAATTCTCCATTGAAAAATGTTTCTATAAACATCATTGCATTACTGCTATATAAAAGACTTAGACTAAACCCTGGGTCAATAAAATGTTTGAAAATGAAAAAAAGTCATACACTGTTGTCTTTCACAAATAAAAAGTTTACGATGTTGAACACTTAATAATTTTTTAATAAACACTAATAACAAACACACAATATCTTATTGGTGAAAAGTCCTGAAGACATTCTGTTTTTAAGTTTAACTAACCTGTGTTTTCATTGTACTCATACGCTCAACTTTCTTCTCAAGGTCTTCAACTTCCTGTTCCAGGCGGTGCTTATCTCCCTTGACTCTATGTAAGTTACGATCTTTTCTTGCTGCAATCAGAAGATTTCAACATTAAGTTCACTCATAGCCTTTGATGTTAGATATTTCTGTACTAAACTTCTGTAAATTTTCCAATACTTTGGAAAAAAGAATTTTAACACCAATCTCTTAAATATTTTAGAATGGAAATGTTGAATTCCAAACACATCTCAAATTAAAATCATTTTGTTAATCATTAAAATAAACTGTTGGGTACAAAATAATAACAATTTATGCTTTAGCTCTGTAACATTGACAGATGATGAAATCAAAAACATTTAGTAATGCACATCCTTACTCATTTCCTCCCGGGTATCGTCTAATTCCGTCTGTAAATTAGCTTCTTGATCCTTCCTCTTTTTCACCTCTTTCTTCAATCTGTCCCCTTCATTTTGCAAGTCTTCTATTTGGTCCTACGAATTATTAGAAGAAAAAAAATCCAAACTTTTCCTTGGATGAAAAATGTTTTCAGCTTTTAACTTCGCACAAGAGTGACTCATTTGAATGTGCCATTTTATGCATATTGACCCAATATCAAAATACTACCTAACATGAATTTTGACAATGTTAATCATCAGTGTGGATGTCTCAATCAAAATGAGTATGCCTTAGAGATTCCATTATATGTTAGTTCTATACAGTAAAGATAGGATAAAAGATGGTTAAATACCAAAGTTTAACCCAGATTTCATTACATTTGTATCATCAGATATACCTAGCAAACATCAATCTTTAAAAATGTATGGTATGCTTTTTCTAATAGGAAATTAAAAACAAAAGAAATAAATGAAATACCTGAAAAGAAATGACCAAGAAAAATGTGAAATATTGAAATGTAACGAAAGTCTTATAACAGTGTTTCATATCGTCACTAGTTGAAGGGAGATAACTCACTGCCATTTCCTTAGTGTGAGAATCAATGAGTTTCTGGATGTTGGTTTCCTGTGAAGATTCATGCGCTTGTTGAGTCACGGTCTCCTGTGCTTGCTGGACCATATCTGCCCTTAACTCAGTCAGTGCCTTGCTCAGGGCCTACAAATAAACAAATAACATATCAGTACAATGTTGTGGACCCAATGGACCATGCATGTCCATTTTACACCATGTCAATCTATTTCTGTAACTCGTCTGTCCAGTTGTTGACCAGGACGTGTGTCAGAGTGTAAAATGCATACATGTGAGTAATGGACGTGAAAGGCGAGTCTATGGACGTGAAAGGCGAGTCTATGGACATGAAAGGCGAGTCTATGGGTAAGTATATAAGTGCTTTGACAGCATGGCGTACTTACTATTTTGGATGCTAGTGGTTACTACGCTACAGGACACTGATCCTTCTTATACTTGATGGATAGCTAGCGACACATTTCCAGACTACGTTTGATGACATCTAGTCAGAGGTAATTATCTTCAAATGAAAATATACCCCCCCCCCCCTTCCCTCCTCTCCTGTACTATATATTGTGTAATATTTTTTATCGTGAATAGCATGGTAAATTTATTATTATTTCACTGAAAAGGTTCATTTAGCAGGAATGTAAGGTATATTTGCAAGATTCATCGAGTCACTGCTATGTAAAAACAATGTTTTTACCCAGACAGTTTGGTGACGTTAGTGTCATATGGGAGTTAATTCTTTATTACTGGTATTATTATTATAATAGAGATCAATACCTTGTGCACTTATATTTATGTACAAGTCCTTTATAACTCTAGGCAAAATTATTATTCCCACCTTCGTGCAACGTTCTAGTATTAAGATAAATGATAGGGAAACAATTGAATATCTTTTTTTTTTTACCTATCACATATGCATTATCATATTACAGATTCAGTGGACGTTTTCTGCCTTTACTCCGTCCAGCATGACGCATCAGTTCTGGAATCTGTCTTTAGGTCCAAAGACGGACAATAAGGCCTACCTGATGTTGTTTCTCTTTGTGGGCTAGCTGGTTCTTGAGTCGATCCACAAGATTTTTCATGGTAGTGGTGGGTGCCCTGTTGTTTTGCTCCTTCAGGACTTCGATCTCCTGCCGAAGTAAGTCGGCTTCCTTCTTGTGGTGGTCGATCTGGCGGTGACACTCCTCCACCTCGCGTTCCCTAGCCTGTATCCCTGTCCTCGTCTCCTCCGTCATCCTATCGTATTATATAATCAACATAAAGAGTAATTTTCAGGGCCGTTTCAAAGGCAAGATTGTAAAATAAATAACACAGCAGACAAAATTTTACAAAAAGATAGCTATACACGATTCAAGAAAGCATGCTATTTTTATATTTGTTAATCAAAATAATTTAAAAGTTATGGATTTATGTTCCGAAATTACCTCTCGACTTGAAACAGTTGATGTTTTTCAGAATATTTTAACTCTAGAACATTTGTGAGAAAATTTAAATTTTAAGGATATTTAAGATAAGTAAGTTCTTAGAGTTCAGACTTTAATGATACCGCAGACAGATTAATATGTATATATATGACGTTATCCTTTTGAAACAAACCAGAAGAGTACTGTGATGGATGAAAGTTGCTAGTTTTGGAGTCGGTCGTTACATATTATGTTTTCTATACTTACCCACTTAACACAGATATTTTTTGTAATATTTTTAATTACTGGTACAGTAGATGTAGCTCAGGAACAATTACACAGAAAAGAATTGAAGGTGTCTACCGATCTTGTTCCACATTGTGACTGCGAGAGTCAACCTGTAGACGTGACCTACCGTTCTCGTTCCACGTTGTGACTGCGAGAGTCGACCTGTAGACGCGACCTCAGACTGGCGATCTCCTCGTCCCTCTGACGAATCTTCTCGCTCATTGCTGCCATTGCATTATCCTGTTCCACTAAAAGGTCCTCTAGCTGATTCAGTCGCGCAAGCTGCAGTCAAGATTAAATCAAACATTTATAAAACCTTATACCATCTATATACATTATACTGAACGATCTCAGCCAAAGGATCAAATCACGATGTATAATTTATCTTTGTATTTATCTCTTGTCCATTGAATTTTCTGAGTCAAACAACCCTTCAGTATGATTAAGTTGATGAATTTTTCATAAGTACTATTAAGTCATTCACCCCTGAAATTTCATAATGAACTATTCCAACCTTTGAATTGGAAGAGTTCAAATGTGTTTTCAGGGGTGAATGAGTTAAGGATGATAAATCACATACTTACACAATCATTGCCCATTTTCATATTGTTTGGAAATTTTTAGTCAAAGGACTGATGCTGTATTTTAGGGTTGAATTGGTTCTGACCTTAATATTTCAGGTATTTATGTTTGAATAAATTATTCTCTGTAACAGTACATTCTCAAGTGTTTATAAAGTGAAATTGATTTTCTGTGAAAATACAGGTATTGTGAATAAGCTATGAAATTAAGATACCTGGTAATTCTTATCATATATTTTCTAAGGAGTACATACTTAAGTTAACATCCTGGGTCAGTATTCAAGAATTAGTAACGTGTGAGGGTGCTAAGAAGGCAGTTCCTTTTGTGATCCCCATTATCTGTGGTTTATTTTTCCCATTTCCCGAACTCTTCCCACATATTTTAACAGTGTTTTCAGACCCAATCACCTAAATATTATAAAAGAATAAGTCTCCCCTTTCCATTTATTTATTCACATATGGATAATGGGATAGCTGTATAAATGAAGTTTCAATTTACCAGATATTACAGATATAGAAATATTTCTATTCTTCACCAAGTCCTGACAGAAGCAAAATCACTATGTATATTATACCTGTTTACTAGACATGGGATGGGCTAGCTGTTTGGCCATGAGGTCGCGAGCTGCGTCCTTGAACTTGTTGAAGGCTGTGTCCGTGTTAAGGTGAAGCTTGTGCTGCATGTCCTTCAAGTCTTTGTCGTGGCGACGGTTCATCTCCAACATGTCTTCCCGCGCCTGCTTCAGAAGTTGCTGGTATTTTGCTATCGTCTCTTCCTTCTGTTGAAGTCTTGCCTGTAAGATTTTAATCATTACAAACTTAACAAAGCGTAACTTCAGAAATGTCTAACCTACCATTTTCTATATTTTCTTCCATTTTTTATTTTTTTTTCAAAGTCCTCTTATTCATGTTTAATTAACCCCCACTGCCTGTTATATTAATTGAGGGAAAGCTTTTATCCATAAGAAAGCATTATCTAAGTAAAATAAAATCTCCTTAACTTTAGCAATGCTTCATGTGGAATAAAAAGAAGCTTTCTACATTACGGAGTAATTGTAAAACTTGAGTCTGGAAAACTATGAATACTAGTGTTCACCATTTTTAACTGGATAGATTTTGACCAAGGAGATTCAATCAAGAATTCCAATATTCCACACATACGTAAGATACGCTACTTATTAATTCTTACTTACAACAAAGTTATGTATCCCTTACATGAACATCATACCCTAAAACAAATTTAGGTGACATGAGATCGTGGACTGTGAAATGCTGACGGAATGTTTTAGTTTACGTTATATTCTGCCATTTACCTGCAGACTTTAGAATGTGGACTGTGAAATGCTGATGGAATGTTCTAGTTAACGTTATATTCACTTATTTACCTGGAGACTTGAGATTCTGGACTGTGAAATGCTCACGGAATGTGTTAGTTTACGTTAGATTGTTATTTACCTGCAGACTTGAGATCGTGGACTGTGAAATGCTGATGAAATGTTCTAGTTTACATTATATTCTGTTATTTACCTGGAGATTTGAGATCGTGGACTGTGAAATGATGACGGAATGTGTTAGTTTACGTCATACGTGGACTGTGAAATGCTGACGGAATGAGTTAGTTTACGTTATATTCTGTTTTTTACCTGGAGCCTTGAGATTGTTGACTGTGAAATGATGACGGAATGTTTTAGTTTACGTTATATTCTGCCATTTACCTGCAGACTTTAGAATGTGGAATGTGAAATGCTGATGGAATGTTCTAGTTTACATTATATTCTGTTATTTACCTGGAGATTTGAGATCGTGGACTGTGAAATGCTGAGGGAATGTTCTAGTTTACGTTATGTTCTGTTTTTTACCTGGAGACTTGAAATTGTTGACTGTGAAATGCTGACGGAATCTGTTAGTTTACGTTATATTCTGTTTTTTACCTGGAGACTTGAGATCGTTGACTGTGAAATGCTGAGGGAATGTTCTAGTTTACGTTATGTTCTGTTTTTTACCTGGAGACTTGAAATTGTTGACTGTGAAATGCTGACGGAATGAGTTAGTTTACGTTATATTCTGTTATTTACCTGGAGATTTGAGATCGTGGACTGTGAAATGCTGATGAAATGTTCTAGTTTACATTATATTCTGTTATTTACCTGGAGACTCGAGATCATGGACTGTGAAATGCTGACGGAATGTTTTAGTTTACGTTATATTCTTCCATTTACCTGCAGACTTACTATCATGGACCGTGAAATGCTGATGGAATGTTCTAGTTAACGTTATATTCTGTTATTTACCTGCAGACTTGAGATCGTGGACTGTGAAATGCTGAGGGAATGTTCTAGTTTACGTTATGTTCTGTTATTTACCTGGAGACTTTAGATCGTGGACTGTGAAATGCTGATGGAATGGTCTAGTTAACGTTATATTCTGTTATTTACCTGTAGACTTGAGATCGTGGACTGTGAAACGCTGACGGAATGTGTTAGTTTACATTATATTCTGTTTTTCACCTGGAGACTTGAGATTGTTGACTGTCAAATGCTGACGGAATGTGTTAGTGTACGTTATATTGTTATTTACCTGCAGACTTGAGATCGTGGACTGTGAAATTTTACCTGGAGACTAGAGATCGTGGACTGGGGAACCTTGACGGAATGTGTTAGTTTACGTCATACGTGGACTGTGAAATGCTGACGGAATATTTTAGTTTACGTTATATTCTGTTATTTACCTGGAGACTAGAGATCGTGGACTGGGGAACCTTGACGGAATGTGTTAGTTTACGTTATATTCTGTTATTTACCTGGAGACTTGAGACTGTTGCCTTATATTCTGTTATTTACCTGGAGACTTGAGATCGTGGACTGGGAAATGCTGATGGAATGTTCTAGTTTACGTTTTATTCTGTTATTTACCTGGAGACTTGAGACTGTTGCCTTATATTCTGTTATTTACCTGGAGACTTGAGACTGTTGCCTTATATTCTGTTATTTACCTGGAGACTTGAGATCGTGGACTGTGAAATGCTGATGGAATGTTCTAGTTTACGTTTTATTCTGTTATTTACCTGGAGACTTGAGACTGTTGCCTGTGCAATTCTAATGGAGTGTTCACTCTCGTACTCTTTGTCTTTCTGAGGCTTTGCCATAGACTCTGTAATCTTTGATGTGGTTTTGAGAATCATCTCGTCCCTGTCTGCGGAGGCTGGCAAGCGGAGACGGAGGTCAGCCACCAGTCTGTCCCGGGCCAGGATCGTCTTGTCAGACTCGTGTAGCTGTTTCTCAAGTTCAGAGTTTCTCTGAAGATTACACAGGTAAAATAAGATTATAATTCACTCTCCTAAAAGTCAAAACATTTTCCTGAAGGTGAATTGGATTAAAAATACAATATTTGTAAAAACTTTCAAGCTAAGTTTGCTGTTGAAGTCAGACCTATCATAACAGTATGAAGTAATCGTACTTGCCAACACTACCTATTTAAGAGGGAGACTCCCGAGTTTGGACCCTAACATTTAGTATCTTCAACCAATGAATTTGCGAAACTATTCCTATATTCTACAATCTAATTATTTCATCTGAAAGGACAACTTAAAATATGTCATTTAAAGATTCTAATTTGTCTCTAGGTGGTATATACACACATTTTAGTTATGTTTTAATTTTGAACAAGCAGAATCTCCACCATGGAAATTTCAAAAAGATGGCATGTAGAATGAACTGTTATTCTTAAAGTCCAAATTTCTCATTGTATCTAATTTTTATAACAGAATATATTACAACTAGTTCATTTGTTTTTCATCAAAACATTTTTTCCCCCCGTGTCATTGTTAAGGGGGTATGCTATCTTATTATAATATACAGGTATACCTCCTTTCCAATAGAGCTCCTTAGGAAACTTGTCGAACATCTTTTAAGAATGCAACTTTTGATTTGGAAAATATATATTAAAGGCACATTTGAAAGGTAAACATGAATGAAGGCATTGAACACTGATATGTAATTCTTAATCATTCAATTTTATCAATTAAACTTGTTAAAGGGAGACAACTCTGGCACAAATCATAATGTAGCATAGACCGTAATTTTAAAAAAGACAAAATATTAATGTAACTGAGGAATTTTTTTCTATAGATACAGCGGTGAAGAAATACATATAAATCTATTTTTCAAGATGTGACCTCTGACCTTTTTGAGAGCCTTATTTTCAGCCTGTGTGTCCAGAATGATCTTGACATTTCCCCGAATGGTTGATATGGCCTCCTCCAGTTGGTTTGCGACAGGTAGTTTGGCATCTGGCAATGTGCCGACTGCCTCCTCAAACTGTCAAAACAAAGGAAAGAGGATATTCATTACATACTCGGCAGTTTAATTTAAACATCAAAATACGCATCAACTATAAATCAGTAATTGTTGCAACCTAAAGCATGTAGATTGTAAACATCAACAGGCAACACATTCATTTAACCAAACAATAATGACGGTTTTATAGAGTTTAATGTTCTATCAACAGCTAAGGTCATTTAAGGATGAATAGATGACCTTGGTAAACACCCACCAAATCTTAGAGCTATTTTACTGAGCTTCATAACAATTCAAGCGATTTTCAAACACATTTAAAGCAATTTTCAAGGTCATAGATTTTCTACGAAAAAATAAATAAATAAAAATATTCATTTTTAAAGATATGAATACCATAATATAGCACAACATAACTACAAATCATAACAAATTTTGAATTCAATTAACTTCTCATGATAAAATTGCAATACAAAACTTAGAAACAGTTCTTCATGAAAAACCACATGCTTATATATATTTTAGTCCATGTGACAGGAAAACTATACAAAAATAAATAAAAAAAATACTGAATTCATTCTTGTGATTTTTTTAATTTTGGATATATATAGAGAATTTTTATATGCAAGACATTTTCAACGAACATTGAGCAAATTTCAGCACATTTCCGGGTGCACACTTTCTTTACTACTTTTCAAGCACTCATCTCATTTTCAGCAATTTTCACTGTCTATATAAACCATGATTTAACTCATCCATCCCTTAAATTTCATAATCAACTATTCCAACCTTTGAATTGGAAGAGTTCAAATGTGTCTTCAGGGGTGAATGATTTAATTACTCCACTAGTAACTATAGGTTTGCTTACCTTAGAAGCTGCCCCTGCTATCTGAGATACCTGGTCTTCTAGCCTGGCTATGGTTCTCTCTAGTTCTACTTCACGCTGTTCCCATCGAAGCTGTTTCTCTTCATATTCCTGCAAAGAGTTATGAGGTTAAGTTACTGTTCATGTGAATTATAACTCTTTCATACCCATGCAGGGGTTAAGGATAGGAAAATTGCACCCAAGCATATTCAACAAATTGAGTGAAACCCAAGGTTTCATGAGGTTTTTGTGCCAATTTGAAAATCCTGAGGATAGAATTTCATTATTCTACACTCCTGTGCATGAAAGATTACATATTTTTCTCATTCCAATCACCAGAATTAGCTCAGAAACCACAAAAAGAGTGTTGCGAATTCTGCATTGAAGCATCAAAAAGTTCCCGATTTGTGATGTCACATCACTGTTGCCCAATTGTGATATAACACACATATTTTGGCGTGCAAGATTGACTTAATAATCCTCACCTAAGACAGAAAAATCTCAACCAAAGGGGTAATTAAAAGATTCTTTAATGTCTAGCCTGAGGCTTTGACTTTTCAGAATCGTACCCCGAGGGTTTAGATTTTCTGTATTACTCCTGAAGTGGGGAATGATTATTTTTTCCCCCACATGAAATACAAGTGATAATTTCATTAAATGCATACCTTGATTTCATAATTTCCTGCAAATCAGACTTATCTTCTGCGCTCTGCTATTGTCAACGTGAAGTCATTGCATTGTCGACTTTAACATCATGCAATTGTTATTTATGACAGGGGAATCGACCCCCATCATTACCCTTGAGTAAGACAGAGAATATTTCCCTGACCGAAAGTGCGCATATGATCTCTGTCTAATGGGAGAGTCAGACAAAGGTATTTCTTAAAACTCTTTTCTTGCCCTTGACTGTTCTATGATATACAGCGATACACACGGTTACAATTGTGTTACAAGAACAGTCACAGTTAAGCCACTAGTACTTCCCAATCCATATTTTTCATTTCAAACTTCATGCATTTCGACATATTTTTTCTTTTACCTTTTCCGAAGTCATCTACAAAATGCTACACACTTTTCTGATGTCATCAGAATTTTCTGATTTCATAATATCTCTCATAAAAAGATGACAATATTGCGAGATCAATGGAAATTAAAAAAAAAAATTCATGATATATTATAATGTTTTAATGACATTACAAATGACTTTGGTAAATTCAGTAAAAAAAGTCCATTCTGGATGTCCAAAATGATTTATAATATCGATGTGGGCCTTATTATGACAAATAATGAGAAAATGAATAATATTTGATATAATTATATTTGCCAACACTATTACAGCTGCAAAAAACCCCCACCAATTTCAGTAGTACAAAACGATATTTTGAACTATTTAATAAACTAACATGAAATGCTGGAAGCATCGATTCATTAAACCACAATATATTTATTTCATTTTCTGACTTGAGCAAGTCTACTACAGACGTCTGTGCTGGTCAACACAGAATTTAAAAAATTAAAAGTGCAGAGGTCAAAATTAAGCAGATAGCATACCTACACCTACCTATTGTACTATGTAGCCTTATAAGTGATAATCAGCATTCAATCTCTTCATGAATCTGTGTAAAGGATGTTCAATTTTGGTATTTATCTGAAATATGTTTCTATCGAAAATTTGCTTTCGAGACGGCCCCCGTAAGAAATTACATGACAACAAAAACATCGATCGGTGTTGAGTGATCTTTGAGGCTCGTGTCTGATAAACTGAATGTGAAATTATATCTATTTATGGAATCTTGAATTTCAGTTATGCATAACTGAACTGAAGACACCGTAAATATTATCAATAATATTAAAAGAACACGTTATAACAAGTCTAAACAAAATGAATCGGCGTCCCGCCAACTGTCAGGAGCGTCGTCCAACCAATTTAGTCTATTTCATAACCTTCGCTGGTATGCAATGCCCCTATAGCTCAGTGGTTAGAGCACTGGTCTCGTAAACCAGGGGTCGTGAGTTCGACTCTCACTGGGGGCACGAAGTTTTTTTGTTTTTTTTTTAATCCAGATATATTTATTTTCAATTCGACAACTTCTTCATTTTAACAGAGTTATTCCATTGTTTTAGTTTAATTAAAGATAAATAATAATTAATTTGGGACTGTTGGATTCTCCTTGCTAAATATAATGTACATTGTATCTATACAATTCTGTCAATAATAATGTTACTTATATTTACACAATCAACTTCACAGTTTATAAATGTGTAATTTTAATGATCTGGTTATGTAATTAACAATATGTTTTTTGCATTCTAAGCTTGATGTAATGTAGCAATGTAACTAGTCTTAAATATTTCCTACCTTTACACAAAATGTTACAGTGTTAAATAAAGTTTATACACATTTTGTAAACAAAAATATAAACCTTTACTTTAATGATTTTTCATACTTCATACAAATTTAACTGCATTTCATTTGTTATGCCCTTATTATATTGGATCCATGTGGATTTAATTTTATGTCTCTTTATGTGCTAAATTGTATTTACAAAATAGTGACATTGAACTTCAAGTATTATAAAATGTAGAAACTTTTAACATAATTATACAGTACAAAATGATTTGTAGCTCAAATTAGATTACATATAATATGAAGATTAACACACATTTAGGAAGTAAATTTAATTAAATAGACTTGCTCAAGTTCCTGTATATTTCAAGCAAATTTTGGATTGTGATGGTGGCTTAATGACTTCTACGTCTTATTTAATGATTCAATTTTACTTCAATTTTCAAAATCATTAATGCAAAAAAAACAAAAAGAATGTATGTAGTATGGCCCTATGTTGTTTAAACAGTCTTAGTTCAACTTTTTATTGTGGAAAAAGAAACATTCTTTTGCAGTTTAATTAATCAAACATCCAATGTATCTGTGTACACACCACATTTTGCCTAAGGAACAATTAGATATTATTCAAATTATGTAGATTACTTATATTTCGTGTGATGCTTATTTCTTTTAATTTATAATTCTATAGTACTTCTGGCCCTTGGAGAAGGGAAACATGATTTTTGTTTCTCTTTGATCAATCATGTTTTACAAGTATGAAACCAATACTTTTTCATCTTTTCTACAAGGCAGATGATTTTGATGACATGTTGAATTTTTTTAAATCTTTTTTTTCATCTTTTTAAAATTTGTTTGCTGAAATGTAAATGCATCAGTAAGATGCAAACCTCTAATAGAACACAAATGTTTTCTTTACTTTCAAAATTATGTCTTCATCCTGGACTGGTTTTTCCATCGATATGGTTATATATATACCTCATAAAATGTGTTGTTCATAGGCTATGTTCAGTTTACATTGAATGTGACATCCAGAATGGAATTTTGTGAAATTGAATATACCTTTTATTTATGTATTCATTGAATTAGAGGTGCGTAACTGAATGGTTATATTTGTTGAGAATTGAATGATAGATTTTCTTTTTTTCTTGCATTTTCTGCAGTTCTTTCCTTTTCTCTATAAAATGTATTGAAGTTTGGATTTCTCTTCTAATTCTATTACTGGACTGTATCACAAAGAACATCAAAGTTTGTGACAGTCATTCATGAGGTCCTATAGGTAATATGCTCATGCAAATTTCAGATTAGCATATATAGATCTGACTAGAATCACATAGATCAAACCATTTTTTCATAAAACTGAATCAAATATAAAATTTTGATTTGTTTTGAAATTTGTAGACTTTCAATCCTCTCAGTCTCTTTCCGTTTCCATTTAGACAAATACATGTTTTTTGCAGAACATTATTTTCTATAATCTTATAACTGATTAATATTTCAGACAATATGAAGACTTTTAATGCAGATGGATTACGGAATCTATGATAACAGCATTTAACACTTGTGTCAGACAGTTTGGGTGTTCACATAGACTTCAGCTATAATTCTATTGCCACTTTCGCACACTGACAATGTAGATAAATATCAACATCGTATCACATGACTACCATATTACCTTGGATACACCCATGTTCTATTTTTACATTTTACCTCCTGTAACAACACCTATTACGATGTCATAATTAAGACAATGGGCATGAAATTGTTCTGTAACAACACCTATTACGATGTCATAATTAAGACAATGGGCAGGAAATTGTCTTGTAACAACACCTATTAAGATGTCATAATTAAGACAATGGGCATGAAATTGTTCTGTAACAACACCTATTACGATGTCATAATTAAGACAATAGGCATGAAATTGTCTTGTAACAACACCTATTAAGATGTCATAATTAAGACAATGGGCATGAAATTGTCTGGTAACAACACCTATTACGATGTCATAATTAAGACAATGGGCATGAAATTGTCATGAAATCAGACTGAAAACAATGGACAAAAGTCAAGAAGTGTTGGTGAAGATTTGACAAAAGTAAGAGAAAATGTTTTGTTTTTTTGCAGGTATACTCCTAAATTCTTGCAATAAAAGGACCTAGAATTCTTTGATAGTGGATAAGTTGTTTGGATGAACAGGTCCAGGGCTAACCCCTGGTATTTTCTTTTTTTCCCCATTTTTTGTTTGTTTTGTTTGATTTTTTGTTTCTATAGACTGTGTACAAAGAGTTTTTTGTGACATTTTTAGTTAGGCTTTTTGTCCCCTGTATTGGGGGAGTGTTTATCATGAAAGCAAATGGTAACTACAATGTACATGGAGAGTGAAGGATTAACAATGGATGAATATGTATTTTACAGGAGAAAGGCGAAAGTTGACAGGGTGAAAGCTTTCCCGCGTACAGTGCTGAAACAATAGGAATTCTGTAAAATGCACCATAATAGGTGTGTTACAGGTGTTGTATATGGAATACATTAATAACGAATGACTGATACATTGATTTCATGAAAGTGCAAGTGGTAAAAATATATTTTGATCAGAGGTAGCAGTATACAGTAGAGGGTTGTGACCATGGGTGATATTTTTGTTAAATGGCTAACCCCTGTATAATGATATGTAAAAAAATATAAAAATAAAACTGTACTAAAATTGGTATAAGCATGATGAAGTGGGCTATGTGAGCTTCACATTTGTAAAAAAGAAAGAAGATTTCTTTGGTTTGAGAATAACATTTTGGCCATAATCCGAAAGGGTGCGTACACATGAAAAGCTAGCTTTACAGGAGGTAAAATTTTGACAACAGCACACGACGCAAAATTGCAAAAAATCAAGTTTTACAACTTTACTGGGACCCAGATAATTCTGCAACCAGGTAGGTAATCTTTAATTTCAGACAGAGTTTAGGAAAAAATTACTAGGTGCGGGGGTCAAATTTTGGGTTAAAAATAGCAATTTTTGGCATTTTTGGTAATTTTTGATGTGGTAACCATGGTTTTCACACAAGTGACATACATAGAAAAAAGAGGTTTTATACACCTCTCAGTACTTTAAATGTATTGTAAATGTAATGCAGTTTACAAATATATATACATGTATACATGTGTTGTGTAGGGTAAATCCGCTGTGTTTACATTTCCTCGACATGTGCCTTGTTTATCAGAGTCGGGCCATTTCTACTGTACACTGCTACCATAGGTTATTTTCACCTAAGATTCTATATTCTGATGAAATTGCTATATGTTAGTCAACTCTAAAGTCATGGAATACTTGTCATTTTTTCACTGTGTAACATCCAATCAAATTGCAGAAAAGTCATAATCAAATGCATGAGAATTGGTTACACACCTTTGATTGTTGTTACACAACTTTAATTGTGGCATTATATTGTTATGTAAATTTAAGTGGCTGACTGACAAAAGCCAGGTTTTAGGGGGAAGACAGTGTTAGGAGAATGTATGTAAATGATGCTGTTGTTTTAGAATAATAGCTGTCTGAGTTCAGTGTATATACCAAATGGTGTCGGCGGTGGGTTTAGGTCATCATAAATCTGACTGACTGACTTTGAGGACATCAGCTGTGTGAGGTGAATGTATGTTAATGACACTGTAGTTTGAGGATATCAGCTGTTTCAGCTCAGTGTCAGACCAAATGGTGTCGTCGGTGGGTTTAGGTCATCATAAATCTGACTGACTGGCTTTGAGGACATCAGCTGTGTCAGGTCAGACAGTATAGATTTAACAGGTTGATTGAGAAGAGCCAGGTTTTGGTATAAGGACTTAAGCTGTGTATTAAGGTTTAGAATATGAACCTCACGAAGTTGAATGGACCGGCTGAATGACAAAACTCAGGTTTAAGTTCTTGAGGTCAGTGTATGTATCTGACAGTGCAGATATGGCTTACCAATGGACAAAATTCAGGTTTTAGCGTAAAGAGAACAATTTTGTGTTGATGACAGCCTACATGCTTAGCAGTGTAGATTTGATAGTTTGACTGACAAGAGCTAGTTTTCATAGTGTGGTATGGATAAATCAGCTCCAACAATACATCAGAGGTGGTATGCAGATTATTGGAAGAAGAAGTTGTGGTCAGCATACATACCTGAGTCTGCCTCACAATTTCCCCTTCCAGGTCGGAGGTCGTGGCCTCACTGGTGCGTACCATTCCTTCTAGGTAGTGGATCTGATCAAACAAACAATAAAAAACACTTTTAATCAAGTTCAAGTGTAAAACCACAGAAATAGTATATAAATGGACTTTTACTGCATCAGATATTGAATCCTGGTGCTTTAACCTGTCTAATAACTCATTCACCCCTTAAGAAACATTTGAGCTCGTCCAAATCAAAGGTTGGAATAGTTCATTATGAAATTTCAGGGGTGAATCAGGGAAATATCAGTACAGACTACGGAGAAAGATCCACACATTATGTTGTTGAGTAATTAAGGATACCTGTCCCAGTGCCACAAAACACTAGAGAGTTCCACTGTAGTATTTTGTACAAACAGAAACCTCCCCAGACATATCTATAACTTCACTTGGCCAGGGTATTACTGTTAACAAAGCAGCTCAGCTGGTTAGAGTGACCTTAGTGGTGATTCAGATGTCCAGGGTTCAATTGCAAGTCTGGCCCAATTTCATTTTTATATTTTAGGATATTTATTTTTATTTTATGAAAGTTCCACGAAGTATGGTTTTCCTTTCAGAAATGACTTATCAAAGCTACAGTCATGCTGAAGAAAAGGCTTCAAATTCATAGTATGTTAAAGGTTTTACGTACCGGGATTCTTAAAAGAGTTCTTATTGACTGACTTGCCAGGGGTTCAGAAACATTCAGTAATAAAGTATGACTATTGGTCCTTATTTCACATCAGGAACAAAATGTCTCTACGCGTACCTGTTGTTGTAGTTTGACGTTCAGTCGTTTCTGTTTGAGTTCCTCCAGCCTGACGGCATCCATCTTGCTGTGCCACTCAACGACCTTGGCCGCGCCGCGACCGTCCTTGAGGGTGGCGATCAAGTCCTGCAGACTCTTGTGCTGAAGCTCCATGGCCGAGAGTTTATTCTCCACTGTATCTCTCTTCTCTCGTGCCTGAGCATAATAAATAATTATAATAATAATTTGAGGTTCTTATATACCGCTTTATCACAACCTAGTATAGGTCGTCTCAAAGCGGTTCACAAATTATTATCCATTGTTATAGGGCCTTTGCAACCAGCCAATATCTTTCTCAACTCCCTGGGGAGCATACAACCGGTGCTGCCATTTTGGTGCTCACAGCTAGCATTCAACAATTCTAGCACTACCCAACCACGGACTCATTTACAGCTGAGTAGACTGGAACAAGTGGAGTAAAGTATCTTACTCAAAGATACAACACAGTGCCGTGGCGTGACTCGGACCCGCAACCCTTCGGTCACGAGACCGGCATTTTCAATATTTTCAATAATAAGGTGGCCCTGATTTAAAAAAAAAAATGGAAACCGTACACACCTAAAGTTCAAAATTAATTACAATATTTGTTTTGGTTAAAGGGAGACAATAAAATTACAAAATGGTATGAGTTATGTTCCTTAGATTCCTAAAACTAATTAAAACAAGAGGCCCAGGGGCCTTAATAGCTCACCTGGTATTTTATTTTTCAATTTAAAACCTGCTGAGTACCATTCAGGTTTATCAAAGGAGTACACGTAACAAAGTTGCATCTTCCATTTATAAATATTCAATTCCCTTTGCCCAGAGATTTAGATTCTCTAAAACAAGTTTGGTTAGGTTAAAATCCCTTCAACGGTACAGAAGGAGAAGGATCTTTAATGTTTTCCTCTATTTCCCCTAATGGGCCCCACTAATCTGCCCCAAAGAAGGGGAATCCACACACCTCAGTTTAAACAAAATTGATTCTTTTCTCCCTAAGCATGCTTCAGACTGCATTTGGTTTAAATCCCTTCACTTGTATAGTAGGAGAAAAAAAATCCTCTATTTCCCCTATTGGGCCCCGCTCCTATGCCGCCAGAAGGCCCACACCCTCCGTTTATACAAACTTGAGTCTCCTTTGTCCAAAGATGCTCTAGGACAAATTTGGTCAAAATCCTTCAATTGGTTGAGGAGAAGATTTTTAAAGATTTACCTATTTTCCCCTATTTGGCCCCGTCCCTCTGCCCCCAGGGGGACCATACCCTCCGTTCATACAAAACTGAGAACCCTTTGGCCAATGATGCTCCAGACCAAATTTGGTCAAAATCCCTTCATCGGTACAAAAGGAGAAGGATATTTGATGTTTTCCTCTATTTCCCCTAATGGGCCCCACCCATCTGCCCTTAGAAGGAGGCCCACACACCTCAGTTTATACAAAATTGATTCTTTTGTCCCTAATCATGCTTCAGACTGCATTTGGTTAAAATCCCTTCACTTGTATAGCAGGAGAAAAAAAATCCTCTATTTCCCCTATTGGGCCCCGCCCCTCCGCCCCCAGAGGGGCCACACCCTCCGTTTATACAAACTTGAGTCTTCTTTGTCCAAAGATGCTCTAGGACAAATTTGGTCAAAATCCTTCAATTGGTTGAGAAGAAGAACATTTTTAAAGATTTACCTTTTTTCCCCTTATTTAGCCCCGCCCCTCTGCCCCGAGGGGGGGCTATACCGTCCGTTTATACAAAACTGAGAACCCTTTGGCCAATGATGCTCCTGACCAAGCTTCAGACTGCATTTGGTTTAAATCCCTTCACTTGTATAGTAGGAGAGAAAAAATCCTCTACTTCCCCTATTTGGCCCCGCCCCTCTGCCCCCAAAGAGGCCACACCCTCCGTTTATACAAACTTGAGTCTCCTTTGTCCAAAGATGCTCTAGGACAAATTTGGTCAAAATTCTTCTATTGGTTGAGAAGAAGAAGATTTTTAAAGATTTACCTATTTTCCCCCTATTTGGCCCCGCCCCTCTGCCCCCAGGGGGGTTATACCCTCCGTTTATACAAAACTGAGAACCCTTTGGCCAATGATGCTCCTGACCAAATTTGGTCAAAATCCTCTGAGCCATTCAGGACAAGTAGCATTTTAAAGGAAAAAGTTGACGGACGCCGGACGCCGGACGCCGGACGACGGACGCTGCACCATGGGATAAGCTCACATGGCCCTTCGGGCCAGGTGAGCTAATAAAAACTACTTTAAATTAATTGAAAACACAAATCACATTTTAATTTTAATAAATGATTATATTTTGATTAAACTCAAGTTTAATATTACCTTAATTAATGTACTTATATGTTGACAATTTACCTGTTTTAGTTCCAGTTCTAGGTTAGTTTTATCATGATGAAGTTTTCTCATATTTATCGTGAATTTCTCTTGCTTGGACAGCGGTATGGCTCCAGCGTACTGCAGGCGCATTTCCTGTGTGGACATTGAAAAAATAAACGTATCATGTCTTTGAAAACAGTTTAATTATCAGTAAAGCTGATGTTAAGGTCATAGTTGCTTAGTAATTTACATGGAGGCATGTGGCAAATTTTTTAAATGTTATTTTTTTATTATGACCCCTTTATGATGAATAGATGATCTTACATGAGTGTCCATGTCATATTGACTTGACACTAATGTAAGTTTTTTCTTATCTGATAAGATTCATAATTTGAAAAAAAGGCCTTCAAACACAATTATCAGCTGACTCTATATAGGTGAAAACCAAAGTACTCCGATCAAAGTATTGTCGTTCCTCACAGTGCAAAGTAGTTTCAGATATTTAAAAAAAAAAAGATCAGTTTTAAATATGATGAAAAAGATGATGACAAAATAAACATTTCAAATTCATTTGAAATAACAGTAAATGTATCATGTGGTATAGTAAATACAAATAGTACCTGTAGTGGCGTAGGAATATGTTCCCACAGTTTTGACCCAACATCTTTAAGTTTTATTACACGTGTGTGTAATACCATATTTTTGACATGGCCATGTGACATAGTAAAAAGGATCAGTTATGTGATAAAATAACATGTAAAATTAATAGCTTAAACTTCTCTGTGCAACAACTCAATTAAATTTGAGTGAAAAACAAAGAAAGAGGAATTCTGCTGATTTCTAAAGTAAAAGATGAGTCTGATCCATCAGGAATTTGGTTATGTATATAAGGGTTCATTTAATCACCTGACGTGCTATCAATCAGGATTTACCTGTCCACACCTTAAATTGTATTTACCTGTAAATTACGTTTCAGGTGTTTCGCCTTGTTTTGAGCCTCTGCCTTATTGTGGACCATTGTCTGGTTTTTGTCGTCGAGTTTCTGGTCCATGCGAAGGATTTGTGCCTCCAGTTTCGTGACACGTTTTTTCGACTCCTCCAGCCTGCGAACCGATGTCCCTTCACTGACCTGTAACTGGACGATGTGGCGGTGCAGCTTTCCTAAAAGTCAAATACAAGTCAAAATACTAACAAAAGTAAAACAGCAGTAAAACAAGAAAACGTTTGTAAGACATGCATATGCCTCGGCCTCCACTATGATGAAAATGATGTTAACTTAAAACTATGCAAATAGTGTCTCAGACAAAGTTTAATGTCAGTGAAGAAGAAAATTAAGGTCACAGTGACCTACATTTGATATATTGGTGCAGTACTACATTATGCACTTTGATGAGTGTTTGGCTTCTAGTACTAGAGTAACGGAGCTAAATGCCAAGTCCAAACAAGATGTCATATGAACGGACAGAAAAGGCAAACACTTAACCCTTTCACCACTGTAGACAGTAATGGACTTATCCAGATCAATGCATGGTAGAGTTTATCAAAGTTACATAGGGGTGAAAGGGTTAATGCCCCTTTTACATGTTGCGAGCATGTAGATATGGTAAGCAATGACTTCTTTGGGATTTTTATTGGAATTTTTTTCCCCAGTGTACAACTGCTCTGACCTACCAAAACTGGAATTTTGTGTTAGCAGTCGTGACAACCCTTGTCTGGGATAAATAACGAACAGTCTAATACCAAAAAACACATTCAGATATATTTTCTTGTTCCCAAATATCTGTTCTTAATCTAAACGGATCAATTGGTGAAACCTTATCATTATTAGGAGTTCACAATCACTGCTTTATTGCAGAGAGATCTCTGTTCATCAGGTTTATTGTATGGTCTTTTTTTCAAGGAACTGTGACAAGTTCTGATTACATGACTGACAGGTTCGTACCTATGATTGTTTTTTCATCGCTCTGCATCTGGAAGTCTAGTAACTGTTGCCGTAGAGATGTGTTTTCTTTCTCTCGTGACAGCTGTAGCGTTTCTAGCGTTTTTACTTGTGATGTGGCTACCTCACAGACTTCCTGAAAACAGAAATAAATTCTGAAATTACTTATTCACCTTATTTGACCAGATGATGTAAAAATTGACCAGTCACATTACAGTCATATAACCTCATTATAAAAATCTAACTTTAACCTTTGTGTGACCTTTTCTTGACCTTGACCTTGATCCATCAATATTGATGATGGAGGTAGACCTTGAACGAAATATGTACTGACTTTGATTTTAGAAGTTGAATTTTGCCTGTACAAAAGATTCAAGTTTGCAAATTGACCTTGACCTTAGTAACTGACCTTGAGTTTTGAGATCTCGTTGCGGAGGGTGACTTCAACTTCCTCCAGTTGAGTAATCCTTTTCCTGTCGGCATCACTCACAGCCTTAGTCACAGACTCTGAAAAAAACCAGAAGATTTTTTAACATCCTGCACGGTCTCAAAAATCCTCTAAGCCATGTTTCACATATTTGCTACAATTTAAGAATTTACTTCACTTAAGTTTTTTCGTACCAAAAGCATTGTTGGGAGTTATTTCATGAAAAACCTGAAGGATTTTTCCCAATTTCCAACAAACTTTGCCAAAATTTAAACCATGGTATTTCCATAAGCTAAGAAACATTTGAGAAGACGAGGTCAGGTTATTTCAAAATATTATCAACATTATACTCTGAGACAATTAAAATTTAGCGGGGGTAGTCGGAAGTTAAGGGGAGGTTACTGTGTATATAAAAAAACTGCAGTGCAGTGGGACAGCGATCTTTAAATGAGCATAAATAACTAGGAGATATATGATGGTCTTACTTGATAACTCGTCTCGCAAGTCTCGCTCGATTCTCTGGAGTTCTAGATTCGACTGCGTGATCTAGAATGCAAAACCAATCATATTATTTTCTTTCGATTTCAAAACTAAGGAGCATACTAGTTAAATATGACACAGATAACCACACACATGTTAGCTTTTACTCTATTCTGGCGAAATAAAGCCAGTGTGTCCACCATTGTTGTCTACGACTGCCTCTATCGACAAATGTACTACGGACATTATTCCTACAGAGATTTTAGTCACACAAAATATGTTGTCAAGTTTAGCAACTTTTGCAATGTAATTTGTTATATAGATACTGCAAAACATTAATGGCTACAACTGCCTCTATCGACAAATGTACTACGGACATTATTCCTACAGAGGTTTTGGTTTCTGGTACAGTGTAATAAAACCATACAAAATATGTTGTCAAGTTTAGCAACTTTTGCCATGTAAATTGTTATATAGATACTGTAAAACATGGTGGCTACAACTGCCTCTATCGAAAAAAGTATGGGGCCTTATTCATACAGACATTTTGGTTTCTCGTACACTGTAATAAAACCATACAAAATATCCTACGTTGTCAAGTTCAGCAACTTTTGCAATGTAATTTGTAATATAATTACTAACATTGCACGCTATTGAAACCACACCTGCTTTCAACAATAAGTATGAAATCAGATTCCAATTACATGTACATGTATACTGTAAACCAGGAAATTTTTGTTCAGTCAAATTTTCGCCCCTCACCAGAATAATCCATATTTGGCCCATGCTAATTTCGCCTTTCACATTTCATTACTATGTATATTATGTTGTTTATTAATGTTTATGATAAATTTGACCACATTGGGGATGGCGGAAAAAATAAAATAAAATAACTGCGGCGAACATTTCTCCATAAATTGACCACAATCACTTTGTTGCTGCAAACCGCATCGCAATAAAAAACTTACTTGTTGACCTATTGTTGTATAACTTAAGCTTTTGACCACATCGTTTATATGACCTCAGTTGTTGCTAAGATGTAAAACCCAAAATAAACAATTGATTATGAGAGTTCCGACCAACAAGGTGCCATTTATCAAAACCTTCCCAGGTAGCTACTTTGCTGAACATGAAAAAACACCTCTGAGAATTTGCTCTCCAAGTCCTTGTTGCGTTCGTCGAGTCCCTGTAGCACTTTCTTCTGTTGTTCGTACATTCTGACTGAATGTTCCGCTCTCTGTCTCTCGTTTAGCTCCTTCATCTCCAAAGTTGTGATCCGTTTAGATATGGTGATGACATCACCGTCGGTAACACTGCGAACTTCCGTGCCTTCGGTGATACCTTCAAAATCAGCAAATAACATCATAGCCAAAACTTAATGGGAAAAGTATTCTACTAGCTAGAGAAAATGGGGTTTATAATAAACAAAGAAGCTATTTTAATTTGTTTTGGGTAGAGCTGCAACGATATATCGTGTGAAGATACATCACAATGCAATGTATTTTGAATACAGTACGATACACAATATTTTTGGGGAAGTCACGACACACAAACCATTTTTTCGAATTTAGTCTACTGATATCTGTTCCAATATGGCTAGTGACAGCTCCAGCCTGGCAAGCATGTCAAAAGTCGTGAAATGTGTGAAACTTCAAAGTTATGCCCATTTTGGACCAAGTCTATTTCCAGTAATAATATTGTCATGAAAAATTTGCAACAAATCTTTTCACTTTCCTTCTACTGTTACTATATGTATTGTGGCCACAGTATCGTGATATGTATTGCTTCTTCAGGTCACTGTATCGTTGCAGCCCTGAACTGGAGGTGGGAATATGGAATTTCACATTATATTTTAACGGTCATGTTTGTATAAAGGGCAGGGTCCTACAAACTTCCTGTTAAAAGGTTCATCCTTTGAAGTGTTCAGCAGACCTCTGCTCCATCCCTCTTACCACTTCGTATGTAAGGTGATCCTTTACTTTTCTTTAGACATATTTTATTGACAATTAAAATTGAACAATGGATTAGGTTATTACAAGTTATCATTATCTTTTCCCTTTCCTCCATTTATAACAGGGCAAAGTATTGCAAGCAATCTATGCTTCCCACATCTCCTCACAAACTCTGGTATCAAAAGTACACAATATATCATGGCAGTAGGGCAAAAGACCTTATTTCATCGAGGACCATTCCGCCATAGGGCCATAACTCTGTGTACATATAGGGCCATAACTCTATGTACATATAGGGCCATAACTCTATGTACATAGGGCCATAACTCTATGTACATAGGGCCATAACTCTATGTACGTATAGGGCCATAACTCTATGTACATAGGGCCATAACTCTATGTACATATAGGGCCATAACTCTATGTACATAGGGCCATAACTCTATGTACATATATGGCCATAACTCTATGTACATAGGGACATAACTTTATGTACATATAGGGCCATAACTCTATGTACATAGGGCCATAACTCTGTGTACATATAGGGCCATAACTCCATGTACATATAGGGCCATAACTCTGTACATATAGGGCCATACCTCTGTACATATAGGGCCATAACTCTGTGTTCATATAGGGCCATAACTCTATGTACATAGAGCCATAACTCTATGTACATATAGGGCCATATCTCTATGTACATATAGGGCCATAACTCCATGTACATAGGGCCATAACTCTGTGTACATATAGGGACATAACTCTATGTACATATAGGGCCATAACTCCATGTACATATAGGGCCATAACTCTGTACATATAGGGCCATAACTCTGTGTACATATAGGGCCATAACTCTATGTACATAGGGGGGCATGAGGCCCTTATGAGGAACGGTCCTGTCCTTATCCCCACTTACCCCTTCTGTGAAGGTCCTCCATCGCAGCCTCTAGAGCATGTAGTTTTTCTTTCTCCATTTCAAGTGTTTTCTTGAGGACGTCATTATTCTCTGTAAGGCGCGTCACCTCTTCCTGAGTATAGATAGAACATGTTTGTTTTAAAAGATTCACTACACATTTAAATTAGTCAGTGAAATTACATACATTAAGGATTTATACACACTTTATTCATTTTACTGAAATTACAAAAATAAGTTTTATGAACTGATATTAGTCATTTTTGTTGGCTTGGCTGGAAGGGTGCAGGGGATCTTAATTTGGGCTGAAACCAGCTTGGTACCCTGAGAAACCGGGAAGGTTAGACAAGTGACCAAAATACCTTTTCAAGGGACCAAACCCAGACATCGTGGTGAAAGGTGAGTACGGTATCCAATGTGCCACAAGACCACCCGCAAATATTTTACAGAGTATGCCTTTGATAAAATGGCTCATATATGCAAGGAAGATAATTTTCCCAAGTGCCCCAAAAGAGCTGTGAACAGTAGTCAAACAGAGTCACTAGTTCTGCAACAACATCAGCCTTTGACCTTGACCCCACATGACCCATATCTCAAGTCCCATAATATCAACTTTGTGACCTTGACCCTACACAACCTTTACCTCTAAGTCATGTAATGACATCAGCCTTTGACCTTGACCTTACACAACCATACCTTTATTCCTGTAATAACATTAACTTAGTGACCTTGACCCTTTACAACCCATACATCTAGTCCTGTAATGACATCAGCCTTTGACCTTGACTGTACACAACCATACCTCTAGTCCTGTAATAACATCAACTTAGTGACCTTGACCCTACACGACCCATACCTCTAGTCCTATGATGACATCAGCCTTTGACCTTGAACATACACAACCATACCTTTAGTCCCATAATAACATCAACTTAGTGACCTTGACCCTACACGACCCATACCTCTAGTACCGTAATAACATTAACTTTGTGATCATTACCCCAAACGACCAATACCTTTAGTCCCGTTATAACATTAACTTAGAGACCTTGACCCTACACGACCCATACCTCTAGTCCCGTGATGACATCAGCCTTGGACACCAGGCTGTTTTCCTTCTCCAAGCCATCTCGGTACTTCTCTGTCAACTTGAGGAACTTTTTATTGGTAATTTCAAGATCCTCGGTAGGCACAGAGTCCTCCAAAGCCTTCTGTAGCGCAGAAACCTTAAAGGTTGCCATATCCTGGGGATTAAAACAATTGATCAAATATAAAATATGATAACTATTCAATTTTAATTAATTCTGGGTGTCGTAAACTTTAAGCATCCATTATAGTACTTCACTGAATTGTATTGATCATTTGTAATGAAGGATTACAAAGTCAATAGTCAATCCTAAAAAAGCCGAGTTAGTTCTGAATCTTAATCAATGAAAGAGACAGAAAGTGTTCCGTCTGGTTGATTCTTCTCTCATTTCCGTGTGTGTAAGATGGAGCTGTCCAGGGTGGGAAAGGGGTGTAAGAAATTGCTATATAATTTGTCCTTTAAGAATCCCTATCCCACTGTTTTTCATAGAGTAACATCTTCTAAATTTAGTTCAAAATTTCAACTAATCAAAGAGACAGAAAGTGTTCCATCCGGTTGATTCCCATTTATGTTAAGCAAACACCTCTGTCCTTTAAGAACCCCTATCCCCACTGTTTCATAGAGTAACTTCTTTTATATTTTATGACTGTTGCACGTACGTATGTGCCAGTGTAATTTCAGTACATATTTATTTCGCCATTTCTGTCATCTTCATTATTAAAAGTTCTGTAAATATTGTTTTCCCATCAGAAATATCTTGTCACAGCTAATTTATTTCAATAAATTTTATTGAAAAATCAAAAGGATTGGACTACAGGTTTTGCCTATATTAGTTCGCGCCTCTAACATTAGCTGTCATTACAGTTACCGTCAGGAATAAAAAATGTCGAAAGCATGTTGTGTAAGTTATTGTGTAAGCGTGATGCGGTACTGTTAAGTAAATAATGAAACACATTAAAAGATTCAAAACTTATTTCATTCTTTGTTGTTTTTTAATCTTCAATCTAACATATTTGACCGACGACCCCAAACAAAACTATTTGAAGGGAGGTAATCCAATATGGCGTACCTGAAACTCGAGAACGATAACCCAAGAATGACTTGTTCCTGCGTATAGTGTGCACCCCCTTTTTGACATGACAATATTTACCTAAAAAAGTGTGCACTATACGCGCAAATTTACGGTAGTTACAATTTTTGGCAGTGGTATATGGGGATCATTAGTGGAGAGCTGAAGATCTAGAGTTGATAAACATAGGCGATTCTGGTAGACGCAAGAATTCACAATAAATATATTGGTAGTACATAATGTATATCGCAAAGATATTAGGGCCATCTTTTGCATAACATGAAATGTTAGTTGTGTGTAAACATTCGTGGTTTTCGTGGTTGCTATTGAACCACGAAAATTAATACAACGAATTTGAATGATATACGTGTCTACTGTTTGTTAATATAGGATATCCATGAAAGTTTGTACCACGAAACGATCTAAATGACTTCAAACCACGAAGAAATGTACCCACGAACATTTCGTGTTTTATAGTATTCAATTTCAAATAATAAGTAATGCTTCTAACACGCTTTCCTGGAAAAGTTTAAAGAAATTTCTGTACCATGGTCTTTCAATTATAATTTCTCACGAGTAAATGTGCAATTCATGCTGATTTTGTATCTGTGAATTTATGAGCGAAGGTTCAGCACTGCCATTACCTTGAACCTCTGGAGGTAGCCCAGCCTCTCCGACACTGAGGTTTCCATCGAAGCCATCTCATTCTTGTAGTGATTGATTTCCTAACGAGAAACAAAATGTCATTAAAACAATATTCACGACAAAAAAAAAGAGAAAATTAGAAAATGCCTTATGCAGATTTATTCTAAAACTACAACCGACGTAAAGTCAAACCTGCTAAAGAGTTCACCAATACTCACTCATTCACCCCTGAAGACACATTTGAACTCTTCCAATTCAAAGGTTTGAATAGTCCATTATGAAATTTCAGGGGTGAATGAGTTAAAAGACCATTTGTGTTAAGAGATCATTTTTAAAACTGCAAATTTTAGTATGATTTTCATGTTAATAACTGAATTTATATTAAGTGAAAACTTATTGTACTTCGAAAAGGTGGTCGTTGAAAACGGGTTGATTGTATGTAAAAGAGAAGTAAAAAAAAAAAAAAAACAACTTTTATATACAAAATAACATATTCTATCTTATAAATATGGTAAATTTTATCAAAATTTCTAGGTATGAATAACATCATCATTTGTCATTTGAGTTAACGCTTTATTCTTTAATACTGTATGATATGATGGCAAATATTCCTACCTTTCTAAGTTGACCTTCGACCTCCTCCGAGATGTTGTACCTGCGGGTCAATGCTTTCTCGTTGACCCGCAACACAGTGATCCTTCGAGTCATCTCAGACAGACGTCGCCGCACCTCTGGTTCATCCTTTGAGAGTGTGTCTATCAGTCTCTGTTAAGCAAACAAATATTGTCACACATCGTAGAGAATTTACTGAACAGTAACTTCGGAATCTCGGGTGGTTTACAAAATCATCTGACTTCAATACACAATAAAACTATAGAATTTTCTCTCATTTCATAGAACTGTCCAGGGTAAGACAGGGGTGTAAGAAATTTCTATCTTACATCCCATTTCACGTGACATGATGTCACAATTGCTCAACAGTGACGTGAATTTACAATTTGGAAAAGTCTGATGCCACAATGAGAAAAGGCGACGTGACGAAAATAAAACCTTTAACAATATTCTCACCGTATAATTCAAGTTAGAAAGATGAGAGATTATTTTCTCTGTAAAACTATGTTTGCAAATATGGGGTACGCTCAATCTCGCTGACAGATTCATTTCCGTCAAAAAAAGCTCAAGGGAAAAGTTTAAATTTTCAAAATGGTAGCCAGTCCAAAGGCATTTTCATGGTTACTGAGCTTATTCTCGTAGTTGGAATTAGAGAAAAATATTCTTCATTGCCCAGGGGTGTAGGATAGGGAAATTCCACCCTCAGGGTATTCAAATTTGGAAAAACCATTGGCAAAGCCTCTGGTTTTGACTGAAATAGTCTAATAATCTTGCCATGACAATAGAATCTCAGACTCCATTGTGTGGCATACTGAAGGATCAGACTCCCACCAAATATTTACATATGAGGTGAAAATTACAATTTGTTAAGGGTATATTACTTCTATGCACTCGATTTGAACACAAAACATCTCTTCAGAAGGTTACTGCAAATCTTGTCGTTCTACCAATGACCCAATTTACAACGGATGATTTTAAACCATCCAAGAAAACGGATTCTACATGTATGTCGGTACGTACATCAAATTCCTGAAGTCTGACTTTGTTCTCCTCTTGTGAAGCATCCATCGTCTTCATCTGCTGTCGAATTGTCTCCGTCTCCTTCTCCCAATCCTGCGACAAACAAATGTTCAGATATAAAATTTGCAATGTCTTTCTCAATCTACAGAAATCTCTTTACATACTTCACAAAATTACCACAATCATATGCAAGGCAAGAAAAATCCTATTTTTGGTCGCCCAGGGCCAGTAGATTATGCCCTGTGGGCAAGTGGAAACTTATGGCTAACTGTCCGATGGTCAAGTGCAAAATTCCCTATTTAATGATATTGTATTCACAGCATCAAATACACAACGGAGAGGTAAAACAGCTTTATTTCTGTTTTAAGACTACATAATGTTATAAAGGCGTAGACCATGAAGTGTACCTGTATTATTTTAACTTTTGGACCTGTATATTTCACATCAAAGCCAGTACCTTTTAAATTCCTCTTGCCAAATGCTTTTGATGACTTTGTTCTTGCCCTAATATGTTATACAAATTCTGTCTTAAAATTTATAAGATTTCAGAAAAAAAAATTAACATTAGCATTTCATTTTTTTTTGGCAGTATAGAAAGAAATCTTTTTCATCATTGTTTTTTTTCAAAAAAATAATTTGGGAGAGGGGATTTATTGGAAGATATGGTGTAGAAATATCTAAGCTGCAAATAACGAAATGCAAATGAAAAATAAATTGTGCAACTTCACCCTAGTTTTTCTTAATGACAGTAACCTTTTTATCCTTGATGTAGTCAGCATACATGAGGCCCTGTTGGTGACGGAGGACGGCAAATTTACGTTTGTAGTTATCCAAAGCGTTCTCCATCTTGTTCATGCAGGCCTCCTTCAGGGATAATTCCTACAACAAGGTCAAGGTCAAATTTTTGTAATCATGTCAAGGTCATAATTTTCAACACATCACATTGGGGTTCATGATTAATAGAATCTATTCCTGGAGTGAGGTATTTGGTAAAGTTATTTGAACCCGAGAGATGAAGCATCAGCAAAAACCTATTTATATCTTATTCCCAGAGAGAGACAGATTGTACTTCTTGCTTATCTTAAAAATATTATATTTGTTTCCCCTTTTTTCCCTTTTCATCGTTAAAACATTTTTATTTATATTTTTCATAAAAGACAGACGGTATTTCTTGCTTCTCTTTTTTCATCGTCCAAACATTTTTATTCAAATTTTCCATATTCTAATGCAAGACAAATAATACAAATACAAAACAGAAGTTATCAACAGATTTACCCAAGAGTTTAAAACTTTGAAAAAAAGCTCCATACAGCTTAAAGTGGACAGTCCAAGGGAGACAAATCTTCATTTTTAACACCTACATCAAACCTTGTACTAATGCAGGGTTTAATAGCCATATTGACAACAATTTAACATTGTGACCATTAATTAATCCACCTATGTTTTAGGAATGAGATACATGATATGTTACCCGGAACAAATTTTTACCTGTAGCACTGTGACTAAATGCTCGTTAAGGCTGGAAATGACCTCGGAACTTGTGATGGCCATGGAATCGGGGAGAGGTATTTTCTGGAACACACCTGGTCCTCCACCAGACTCTTTAGCCGCTTTCAGGTCAGCCTCCAGCTGTTCAATCTGTCACAATAACAACAACAAACCATTTATGTTTTTTTTTCATTTCATTTTGTAAAAATATTGTTATACCTGGTCCCACTGGTAAACGCCATATTAGCCTGGTATTAATTTTGCCTTTACCAAAGAGACACATTGTAATAGTAACAACTATCCAAACCGGTCTCTGTCTAATTAAGATCTCTGTCTATACTGGATTGAATTGTAAAATGTTTGTCATCAAGAATACTCTTAATGAATTTAAAATTTTAGAGGAGGGGGGGGGGGATTTTTTTTTTTGTGTATACCTTTTCCAAACTCTTTTCCACCTCCATTCTTGCTTTGTTGGCTTCGTGTCTCGTCTCGCGAAGTTCTGCACGAATCTCATCATTACGCCCTTGGAGATTGTCAACCTGCGCCTTTAGGTACAGCGATGTGTCATACTTGCCGATCACGCTCTTCGCCTCAATGGCCTGAAACCAAAAATAAACTTTTACAAAAGAATTTTTATTAATGTGATAAACCTAATCTCTTAAATGTTTGCTGAATCGCTTTCTTAATTTGACTCTTTTCTTAAATATACATAGCAATTTAAAGAATCATATTATTAAAATACCTGAAAAAATTCAAGTAAAAGGAGATATTATTTTAAATTTGATAACATTTTTTGCAAATTCATGTGAACAATATTGTACGATTTATTGTTATAACTTCCTGTGGTAAGGAATTATGTCCAAAACAACTTACTCTATAGCAAAAAAAGAATCCTTTGTTCCTTGGAGTGTATTATCGCAAACTTGTTTTACAATTTTAACATCTAAATAATTACCAGTTAAAGTAAATTTAGATAAATTTAAAGTACAGAATTTTATTTTCTTGATCCAGTATTTCAACGAGAAAAAATAAATTTGTGGGTCTGAACATCAGAACATAAAATTGTAGGACTTACAGCCAGCATCCTCTCAAGTGTGGGGAACTGCATTGGCTGATCCTCTGTCCCGTGTTCATCTGTAACCAAATCAGGGAATACATATATAAACTTATCAATCAAAGGCACTCCCTTTCCAAAAAAACATTTAAGGGTTTCGGTGTTCAATTTTGATTCATTAATGCTGCAGATTTATTGTTTTTGATACACTGTAAGGGGAATTATTTTAGAAGACACCTTTAGCGTATTATTGAATTTTAACAGATAAGTGCATAAATGATATGGCGCATTCACAATAAATGCAATGGCAAACTATAAAGTATAAAGAAACTTCAATTAGCGAAATCATAAATTAGCATTGTGTTTAACCCTTCCACCACTGTAGATCCTTATGGACTCATCCAGATGAATGTACGGTAGAGTCTACTCAAGTTACCTAGGGGTGAAAGGGTTAAATGCAATGGAAACAATACAGAAACTTCAGTTAGTGAAATCATAAATTCGCATTGTGTTCANACAAGTTTTTATTTAGCACGAATAGGCATAACTATAAAGAGGTGTTGAAATCAAAAATCAAAAATACAGGTGCACAACTACATAAAACACTTATCCTTCAAGCAGAGTTTTAATAACATCTGCCTGTTAGTTAAGATGGAGTTTTCCGGACAAGTTATTTCGCATAAAGGGCTGTAACTCCCTTAAAAAGTGTTAAAATCTGAAAGTAAAATGCCAGTGCACAACTGCATAATATACTGATAATTCAAGTGAAGTTTCAATAAAATCTACATGTTAGTTAAGATGGATTTTCCGGACAAGTTACTGTGGACGACATCAAGACATCCAGTATACCCCCCCCCCCTCAACTTCGTTGCGGAGAGTATAAAAACACATTTAAGAACCAATTTAAGGTTTTTCGTGTTCAATTTTGATTCAATAATGCTGAAGATTTATTGTTTTTGATACACTGTAAGAGGAATTCTTTTAGAAGACACTTTTAGGATATTATTGAATTTTAACAGATAAGTGTATTCATGAAATGGCGCATTCAAAATAAATGCACTTTAGATCCTTATGGACTCATCCAGATGAATGTACGGTACAGTCTACTCAGGTTACCTAGGGGTGAAAGGGTTAAATGCAATGGAAACTATACAGAAACTTCAGTTAGTGAAATCATAAATTCGCATTGTGTTCAAAATAAATAGAAAACTGTACAGAAACTTCAATTTAATAGCACAGTTACAAATTAGCATAGTGTTTAAGGTGTGAAAATCCGTAAAATTAGCATACTATACTAAAATATGAACGTTTACAAAATCTTAATTTTTAGAACTCTGAAGGCCCATATTCGTGAAGTTTACAGCATAGTTTGACTGCATTGTCTTTGTTATGGCCACGATTTCTTGATAACATACCTGGTTTGTACTTCTGAAGATTCTCCAGGACTTCCTTGAGCCCGCCTTCCAGCTGTCGGTTGTCGTTTTCCAGCTGCTCGACCTTGGCCTTGAACTGTGCATTCTCTCTGTATAGTTTGTCCATTTCTCGCATGTTCTCTCGGAACTCGTCGCCAGCCTCCCGATGCTGTAGTAATTTAATGAATCCTTCTTTGTAATATACATGGAGTCATCCCAGAATGATATGATTCAGGCATTTTTGTATTTATTTATTAATATTACAAAATGATAAGTTTGTTAATTATTACATTTTTATGTAATACATCAATCAGGCATTTCCTTTTTTTTTTTTTACCTTTTTTTAATATTAAAATGACTTTTTGCTTTATATGTTTTTAAACCTTGATTCACACTCAAAGTCTGAATTTAATTGATTGTAAAATTAAATATTTAACATTAAGTAGTCATTATTTTGCCATTTCGGTATAAATATATGACGGGTAGAGAAACTAACTCTCAACTGCGTCTCCTCGCTCTCAACCTCCCGTCTGATCTGCGCCCCTGTGGATGTAGCCTCGGCATGTTTGACGCGCGTCGCTTTGAGCTCCTCCTGGAAGTCGGCCACAGCCATCATGTCTTCTGCAGTCAGACCCAGAGCTACGGCTCTGCAACAGCGTAACAAAACTAGTGTTGACCATCCCGAAAGTTTTATTTTATGAATAGATACCAAAACATTCCCCGACAACCAAAACAACAAAAAACACCTGTCTTTGTTACAAATGTAAATAAATATCCTTGAAATCAAGGTTATTGTTGTGTGATTGAAAATTGCGACAAAGTGACGCATGAAGATATAACCGAAATTATTTCTAAACATCTGCTGATAAAGTAGTAACGCTTGAGAAGCTTGGCTAGTTTAATTGGGGGATTTATGTTCTTACACAGCCTGAAGTCATATGAAGACGGAAGTTTGAGAAAAAATAATTCATGTCAGTATTTCTAGTACTTTCAGCATGCCTTTGTTACCTTATATATAATTTTCATGACCTAACAGTGATATGCTAAAATTAATTATTATATTGAAAATGATATTTCTCCTATAACTGACGAAAAGATTCATCACTCCAAGCCGATCTCTTAAATTTTTTGATAATTCCATTGTGAAATAATCTCACCATGCATGATGTTAGACCATCTATGTTAACTTTTGTGTTACAGAATATATTTCCAGAAATCAGGTCCAATTTTGGTCAAAGTTGGTCAAAGCTTCAGAACAACTTAACCTACGACTTTACTCTAGAATATTTTCAAAAAGGTTAAAATTGTACGCAAATGGATGCAAGGTGGCTTATGACAGACACAAAAATATATTCGTATATATATTCAGATATTTATCCATAGTCACAATTTGGAAATTAGTTTCAGATTTGCTGAGGTGATGAGGCTGTAAAAAACCCAGTACAACATACAACATATATAATTTTTTTTGATATCTCTTAATATGAATCAAAGTAGCATTTCATTTGGTTGAAACGTTTTCATCCCCTTATTTCTCGGAATCTGTTTCCGCGATGTATATAAAACACGATTGGTAGAGAAATATACCTCTGTCCTGTTTGCTGAGCAAGCTTTCGGATCTTCTTCTTTAAAACTACCCTCTCATCTTCAAGTTTTTCCACCTGAAAATAAACATGTACATGTCACATTGTGAGAGAAAGCAATAAATCATCCTAATATTATGAATTGTGGATGTGCTTTCATGATTTTTTTTCGAGGTTAATCTGAAGAAAAAAAAGTTACTCGGTTCTAAAATTATTTCAATCCAGCTTTTGGTTACAGATTTAAATTATTTCTTTAAAAAATGTTATCTTATGAATGGATAAATTCGAGTTTTGCATCTATCTATAACTACCCAAAATTCTCTGGAATCTCAAATGAGTTCAATTAAAATACACACTTGACTTTTTGGTAAATTAAAATTTTCAATATTTTAACAAGACATTTAAACATGAAAACTGGCAATGATATATAAACATGACACTTTCTAAGTAATGTCTGCTTGACAAAAAAATCCTTTTTGTAAGGAAAATGTATTGAAAAATCAACTTTGCATTGATTGAATGTTGACTGCAATGTGAAAATGAATAGTTTTAGCCCCTGAGACCTCTTTATCCGCTACAGATTGTTACAATCAGGAACAGATAACCCACGACCAACTTACCTCCCGCTGAAGTATAAAGTTGAGAGCTTTCTCCTCCTCTTTCCTGGTCGCCTTGTTTTTCCTGAACTGTGTGAGGTCGAGGGGCTCCCGAGGGTCAAGGCCAAGTCTGTATCGTAGATCCTCGTTCTCCTCCTCCATATCGTTTATCTTCATCTCAACTTTGTTGATGTACTGAGTCAACTCCTCAATTTGTCTGTGAAACCACCGCAGTACATTTTTTAAATGTTCATATTCCAAACCAGACTGTTCTTGTTGAAGACTTTTTCAATTCCAAATACAACTTCCGATCCTGATAATATTATTTTACTTAACTTTTCAAGGACTGTTTGAGATTTTAACTTTTAAATAAAAAATATTAAAAATATTTTAGCAACGAAAAAATATTATGAATAAAAAATCTAATAATTTTTTCAAAACTGTTCCTTCATAACTAATTGCCATGTTTTCCAATTTTTTACATAATATTTTTTTTTTGTATTAAACTGTATTTTCTGAAATTTTAATTTTAATATATAAAAGTCAAGTGTTGCTGTTACTAATTGTCTTCAATGTTTTATTCTGTAGAAAAAATATGTTTGCCAACAGATAATACCAAGTAATACTGTATACTGCGAAACATTCACCCAGTTAGATATTCGCCCAACACAGACAAAATCAATGTTCACCGAGTGTTAAGTTCGCCCTTCATGTTTGATTGCTATATATGGTATGCTGTGTACTTATAATCGCTGTTATGATAAATTCACCCTCATTGCCGAGGGCGAAAAAGGCGAAAGTTAAAATGTGGCGAAAACTTCCAGGTACACAGTTGTTCCTATATAGCCCAGTAATGTTGTAAACAAATACAGAATCATTTACAGCTAATTCTAACATGATGTATGTTTTTACCTGTCCCTAACTTTGATCTGATTATTGCCTTCCTTGATCTCTGCAACAGCTTCAGCCAATCCATACTCCCCCTACAACCCGAAAACATGCAATCATACAGCACGCTACAGTCAAACCTACTTAACTATCTGTCACCTCTTTCTCTAGAAAATCTTTAAATCATCCAAAAGCTGACATGGCTAGATGAATGGCTATCAAAAGACAGAAGTGAGGTCGGGCATACTGGAATGCCTACATCTAAAAGGCTGTATATATAAAGACCCATCCAAAAAATCGAAAAAGTTAAAATTCATTAAAATGAAATGACAGGATATTAATGCTGTATATTCTCTGTTAATAAAAAATTACTGAAATCACTTTCTTGATTTTTTTAATTTTTTTTTAATACCTGATCAATTTTAAGTAAAACATGTACAAAATAAGATTGTTCTACTTTTAGAGAATTGTTATCGTATTTTTTACTCATGTTATTTGAAGTATACTTACAGCCTCATACTTTCTCATCCGTTCCAGAGCATCACTCAGCTCTTTATCTTTTTCACGAGCATCTCTTTCCGCCTACAAGGCACAAGTTTATAAGCTGCTGTAAACAATACCTACTTTATAAAGGTGGTTTTCATATTTCAAAAACATTTTCACTCTCATTTGCAAACACTGAAATTTCTACAACCAGTTGATATCAGAATCACAGTATTGATAAAATTAATAATCAATTAAGTTTTTGACTTCCTGAAATGATTTTACACAAAATCAAGTGAAAAGCAGGTGTCTATTCTCTCATGATAATGTTATTCCATATATAATAAAGTAAAACCTCGATATAATGCCTCTCGTTTCATCTGCCACCTCTTTTACCGCCAAAATAATTCAACGTCCCATTTTCTTGTCTTCCTAAAAATTCCTTTATACAGTTCCCCCAATTTCCTGCCAAACCCCTTTATAATGCCAAAATTTCTGTGGACAAATGGTGGCAGTATAACAAGGTTTTACCGACGTTATCTACATTTAACTGAACTGCAATGATTTGATGGCAGCTGATTAAACAGTTTGAATTCCTTGAATACAAGTAGCACTGTCTATTAATACAAAAAAGCAATCCATTAAAACAAAAAGTATTTTCAGTCAAATCCTCCAAACGCATAACTTGTTTGTAACTTTTACATACTCCAAGTGCCATTTTACCTCAACTTTCAAGGTTCTCTCCTGTGTATGAAATAATGACAGCTCTTACAAAATAAAACCTGATTTATTTCGTTGAGGCTACGGATCTAATTTTTGTTTTATAATTCTAGAGTTCAGATATCGGAGGTAAGAATCAAACACTGCATTTAAGCACTCCTTACCACTTTGATATCGTTGTTTACTTCTGTTAATTTTTTCCGCTCATACTCCAGGTCTGTCTGTAGTTCCCTGATTCTGTGTAGTTGTCGGTCACCGGGTCCGGCACCAGCTGCAAAATATACCATGTGTATTGATTACACACGTGTAATAAAACCTAAAGGTGCTACGATTGGTCAAATCAGTGGAAAAATATTCCTACGCCACTATAGGTACTCCTTTTATTTACCTTACCACAAGATAAATTGACTGCTATTTTAAATGAATTTGAAATGTTTACTTTGTCATTATTATTTTCATTGTATTTAAAACTGTTCATTATAAAAAAAAATATTGATTTACTCTGCACTGTGCAGAATGACTATACTAATAACCAGAGTACTTTGGTTTTGACCTATATAGAGTCAGGTGATAACACATGATGTGTTTGATTTTTTTTTTTTAAATTATTAATATTATGTGATAAATAGAATCTTACATGAGTGTCCATGTCATATTGAATTTATCGAATGAGTTTGAGAACTTAATATAATTAAAAATTGCATTCTATTCGTTTCATCAGGTCACAAATTTTTTGGAAAATTACATTTGTGGAGTTCGGTCCTCAGATCCTCGACCACTGCAGCGTTAGCCTCCATCTCGTCCACGTAAGCCTTGATCTTGTCCGTGAGATCCTCTATCTGTTTGTCTTTCTCCTTTATAACAGTAGTGAGTGCAGCCACTGAAGCCTTGTCAGCGTCCATGTTGGCCGCGATGAGCTGTTCCCTCAGATGGATTGCCTGCTCTTGAAATTCAACAATGGCTTCATCCTTCTCCGATAAAATGACCTGGTTGAAAAAAATGTTTGAATTAATTTAAATGATGGTACAGTAGCAATAACATGCATTATTGTCATTTTATAGATATTGATTTTTTGTTTATGTTTTCTTTTCGCTCATCAACAAAATACCATAAATAGACTTATTGAATTAATTTTCGTTATATAACATACTTTGTACACATATAATTTACATGATGAAATATGTTGTAATAACTTATTTCCATTTCACAGAAGAAATATTTAAAATTATGACAGATATATCTAATTAAAAATAAATTTTGGTTTATTTGAACCAATCTGAAGCAATATGTATCATTCGCAATAAGATTTTATTTAAAAAACGTCTCTATATTACATATACCATAAAGACAGCAATGTATTCAATACAATATTTACGAATTATTTATTCATAAATCAGAAATATGGAAATCAATTCAACTCATTCACCCCTAAAGACACATATGAACTCTTCCAATTCAAAGGTTGGAATAGTTCATCATATGAACTCTTCCAATTCAAAGGTTGGAATAGTTCATTATAAAGTTTCAGGGGTGAATGAGTAAACATTGATAAAGACAAACCTTCCACTCCTCGATCTTGTTGTTCACTGCCACCATGATAGCGTCATCAGCGTCTGTCTTTGACTGTACTTGCTCGTTAAGATCTTGTACCTGTGGAACAGGTAATCCCAGTTAAATATTACATCGTAATAGTACAAGCATGAATTTCTTTTAATATAAATTATATGTAACTTCGCGGTCACATTCATGCACATGCTAATAAAAAAAAATAAAAAAAGGTTGTGAACACATGTAATAACTCCTAACTACTAATTGGGAATACATGCGTTTACTTTTCACCTCATTTTTATCAATGATTAATTTTATTCAAATAACCACTAAGATAACACATTGTATGTCCATGCTCCTGTCAGAATTTGGTCATCCATATTGAGCTTACAGCAGAGTACTTTGTAAGTACTACAGTCAGAATAAACTCTGTGTATAATATTCTAAAACAGGTGCTGTTTACAATTTCTTCCTAATTAGGACTGATTGAATCGGTAATTAAATTTGGATACATTGTATATTTCTTCACTTTTCAAAATCCCTTGTGTCTGTCATTACTTGACACAATTTTTTTTTTAAAAAAAAAATGCAATGTTGCAACGAACATTTCATTAATCGTTATGCAAGACCAAAACCTAAATTGAAATTTATATCTGGTTCATCCTTACATGCGATTTTTTTTTCACTTTCATTGAAACCATCGTTCACCTTACACAAGAACACTTATACTGTACCTGAGCTTTGAGGACTTCATTTTCCTTGCGGACCTTGTCCGTATCCTTGTCTATCTCCTGCAGGGTGTTCTGTACAAACAAAATCACTACATCAATAAAATCAAAACAATAATGTTACATGCTGTATATGTATATATATATATATCTCAACAACATGTCGCTAGCACTTTCATCTCATCAAGGAGATTCTTCAGACTGTTTATTTAAAGGAGAAATAATGATGTCATATAATAGTTCGCTATGTGTACCCGCCATAGCGATATCACAGCAATTTCAAGGTGCTTTTAAAAAATGTCATCAGTTCAATTAAGGGAAATTGATCTACAAAATAAACCAATAACCTGTTATTTCAATAATAGCACAGGCATTTTCAACGCCTGTCCTACTTTCTTCCTGTAAATGATTGGTTTGAAAGTTTCAAATAAAAAACCCGATCCTTACCCTGAGTTTGAGATTATCCTCCCGAGTACGATCCATGTCGAGTATAGCTTCCTCCATCTTCGTCTGCAACTCCTCAATCTTCTTTGCATACATCTCGTTGGCATCGGTCAGATTCTGGAATGAACAAACATTTTGTTTATATGAAAAAATGTAACTGTTGAACAGGAAGTCCTAAGAACATGCTTTGCTGTCTGTTCAGCCTTGGAAAGATAAAGTGAAGGAACAATGAATTGACTCAAGATTTCTGCAGTGAAAATCAATTAAACTAATCAAATGCAAAATTATTTTGATTGTAGTGATATTTTTTTTTTAAATTTGCCTAATAGTTAGAAATTGGAATTCTCAGTATGAGACTTGTACATTTCTTTTATTTTATGTTGCTATTCCTGCAAAATTAAGGCAGCTTTTTTAACAGAACCAAAAGTGTTGAAATAAAAGAAACTCAAATGTATACCTGAAGCTCTTCCATGGCCTCCGCCATCTCGTGGTTCTTCTTCATCAGCTTGTCACGGAACTCAATCTCATCTCCGCGCTTGGACACAAGGTTGTCTTTCTGCGACTGCATCTGCATCTTGTAATCACTGATGTCCTGACGCAGCTGGTCATTCTGAAGGTCAAAAGGTCAAGGTGATTATCAAATTCAGACGGATTTGAATGCAAAATTTAATCTCACAAATCTTGATATATGTTTTCATTTGTGTCACATCATATAGCAACATCCAGAACATGACAGACATGATCTATTAATGAATAGCAAGTCAAAGTATTTATATATTACAGAGGAAGAAATCTAGCAATGACTTAAGGGGGGGGTATGAAGATTTATCACGCTAGAGATTTTGTCCAGAAGGGACGTAATCTAGAAGTCACACAAGGGATAACAGTCAAGGGGGATAATCTAGAAGAGTTGCTTTAGGTGTTACAGAAGTTTTCCATATTTCTTAACATTTTCTCCAGGTTGGTTGGTATAAATTGTGAAAATTTCATGAAGTACAACCGTTAAGTGTTTATATGTGATGTTTCGATGACTAGTATGGTATGTACCCTGTCACCTTCATCAGTCAAATGACCAGTGAAGCATATTTACACAAAGGTGTAAAATATGTACGAGCTGTCCACAAATCGATGTTGATTTGGCTACGCTGTAAGCGTATGTACATTTAGTTGTTATATATGTACCGAAATGACTCAATTCAGCTACACTTTGTTTAATACTTTGTCATAGATGTGTGGGAGTCTATGAGCCCCCTGATCTCGATTAAACTTTTCACAATCAGCAGTTTTCCAGTTATATCCATGAAGGGAATTATAGTGTGGGATTTAGAGGTACTGAAATTCCTTACCTCGTCTCTCATGTCCTTCTGTATCTTTTCCAGCTCACTGATTCTCTCGCTGTACTGTAAACAAATGTACATGAATTTTTTTTAATCATGTATATCTCAAATAAAAACAAATATCAAAATAACTACTCCAATCAATTTCTACATTTATCACTATTATAAACATGATTTTCTTGTTATAATGGATAAAAAGTTTGTTAAGTAAAATATATATAGTTTTAATATATGAGGCTATCCTGTTTCTATGCATGGATACAGGGAAAGCGGATGCTTTCATTTGAAGCACCTCAACATGGATACTTAAAGATTTGTAGGGCACAAGATCTCAGCCATTTGTTTCTTAATGTCCAGATTTTTCTGTAAACTTTTAACTTAAAACATTAATTTTATACACTGGTAGGGCCTAACTTTTCTGCCACCAGCCATTTTTCATTGGCCAGATCATTCTGTTGAGCTCTAACATGAAATATTTATACATCAGTAGGACCCACCTTTTCTGTTGCCCGTTACTCGCTGGCAAGATCCAGCTATGTATATCTTAAACTTATACTTATACATCGGTAGGGCCTCCCTTTTCTGCTGCCCGTTACTCACTGGCAAGATCCAGCTATGTATATCTTAAACATACAATACTTATACATCAGTAGGGCCTACCTTTTCTGCTGCCCGTTACTCACTGGCAAGATCCAGCTATGTATATCTTAAACATACAATACTTATACATCAGAAGGGCCTACCTTTTCTGCTGCCCGTTTGTCACTGGCAAGATCCAGCTATGTATATCTTAAACTAATAATACTTATACATCAGAAGGGCCTACCTTTTCTGCTGCCCATTTCTCACTGGCCAGATCTAGCTATCTAGATCTTTAACATACAATTCTTATACATGGGTAGGGCCTACCTTTTCTGCTGCCCGTTTCTCACTGGCAAAATCCAGCTATGTATATCTTAAACTTACAATACTTATACATCGGTAGGGCCTACCTTTTCTGCTGCCCGTTTCTCACTGGCCAGATCTCGCTGCAAATCTTTAACATCCTGTTCTAGTTCCTCTTTCCGCCTCTCCAAATCGGTCACCTGGTCCCGGAGGGCACCAGCTCCTCGGGACGTACCACCACCAGTCTCCGGACCGAATTTCTGAGGGAAAATAAACACCATGAAACTGTGTACATCCACGATTCAAACATGACTCTTTCCGAAAACACAAACTATATGGATTTTGACAAATATATATATATATATATATAAAAGAAAACATAACTTTTATGAGATATTTCCAGTAAATTTTTCTTTTTTAATACACCATCAAAATATCTACAGTAAGTTTAATTTTGTCTATGACAGTGTACAAACACTTTAGTTTTTACATTATATATAACAATCTCAAAAATCATTATTTATCGTATCGTGGCTTTGAAATACTCTTTACTGATTGGTCGAAAACTGATGATATCAAAAATTGATGTACACTGTTATTATTTTTTTTGTCAAATATGAAGAAATAAAAATTGACTTTATTTCAAATAAAATCAACATGATATTTTAACATTTCATTATTATTTTTTTGTCATTTAATAGGATTTGATAGGATATTAGTGGACGCAGGCATTGCTGCCTCTATATCCACATCAATATACCGGTAGTTTAAAATACATTGTGGTAAACATAAAATAAGCCTATATATAAGGCGCTGTATGATCGTACTTCAACTCAAGATCTTTCCAGAATTCGTCTACGTTTTTCTCAAAGTCAAATACGTCACAAGATGAAATAACATCTTGTGGGAGACTATTCCAGATATAAATCATTCTTTGAGTAAAGTAATGTTTTTTTTAGTATTTAAATGACAATGTTGTTTGAGTATTTTTTTACTGTGTCCAGGAGTTTTTCCTTGATCGAACAATCCCTCCACCAAATTCATGCCATATAATCATATTTAACATAACACAGTTTGAAGAATAAAACTGATTCCTGAATGAAATGTTAAACATATTCCATCTTCTTTGATATTAACTATGTGAAATACATCCTTACAAAATTGATATCCATCTCCTTTGATATTTAACCCTTTCACCACTGTAGACCATAATGGACTCATCCATATCAATGCATGGTAGAGTCTATTAAAGTTACATAGGGGTGAAAGGGTTAACTATGTGAAATACACCTTTACCTCTACTTCTGCCATCTTTTTCTTCAGTTTTTCTATTTCCTTATTTTGTGATTCCTCTGTAAAAAAAGCATCTTTACAGTGTACAAAATGGTTTATAACAGATAATCAAATTCATTGTAAAATTTAATCTTACATGACATGTAGTTAAATTATCAATTCGAATAATAACCATATACATATATATACTAAAACCTGTCCCGGTGAATGTTAAATGCTTATTTTAGAATAATAAACATTGTACATCAACTGATGTTTGTATCATGTCAGAAGTATGTTATCTGTAGTAATCTTTGTATTTCTCTACAAACCATAAAACCTTGATATACTGCCCATCATTCTTTTGCCATCTCCCTTACTGCCAATATATATATTTAAATCCCCCTTACGCTTACAGCCAATATATATATTTCGAAGTCTACATTTCATTTTTTTGAATGATTCCTCTATACATCTCCCTCTATGTATTGCCAAACCCCCTTAGAATGCCAAATTTCTCTAGACAAATTTTGGCAGTATAACAAGGTTTTACTGCTCGATATACTGCATGCTGATATACAGTATCATTGTATTTCTCTACAAACCATAAAACCTCGATATAATGTCCCTCGTTCTTTTGCCATCTCCCTTACTGCCAATATATGTATTTTAAAGTCATTTCATTTTTTGTTAATGATTCCTCTATACATCTCCCTTTATGTATTGCCAAACCCCCTTAGAATGCCAAATTTTTCTAGACAGATTTTGCCTGCAGTATGACTATGACAAGGTTTTACTGCTCGATACACTGCGTGTTGATATACAGTATCTGTAGTAATCATTGTATTTCTCTACAAACCATAAAACCTCGATATAATGCCCCTCATTCTTTTGCCATCTCCCTTAAGCTTACTGACAATATATCTATATTTCAAAGTCCTCATTTCAATTTTTCTTAATATTTCCTCTATACACCTCTCTCGTTGTATTGCCAAACCATCTTAAAATGCCAAAATTTCTCTCAACAAATTTTGGCAGTATAACAAGGTTTTACTGCATTTTTATTTACAGAAAAACCTTCATACACCTGGTTTATATAGAGTTAAACCTCAAGTGATATAATGGCCCTCATTTATATAACATATTTTGATTTAATGCCACACCCCTTTATAATGCCAAAAATTTCACTGGACAAATGTAAGCAGTATATGAGGTTTTACTTTATATTATCTCACATTCATCAGTTTTCTAAAGTGATGAAATTCTTTAAATTTAACCTCATCACTTTTTTTATCAATCTATAATATTGATTTATTTTAAAATGAAATATCTTACAAAGAAAACTACTCTCATTTACACTGCAAGTTTCCTAAAATTCCTGAATTTTTTAAATTAATTGTTAACAAATTATGTTATTCATACCCTAAAAATCTTTTGTTTGCTGAACAATTTTTATTTTCAAATTACGTCATTCACAAACAAAAAAATATTTTTTGGCTGATTAAGTGAAAAAAAAATCAAATCATTTCTTGACATTCACAAAAGAAATTCCTTGTTTAGAATTCATGATGAATGCACCAGATAGGCTTCAACTGTTTTGTTGAAGTCTTGTCTTACCCTTCTTCTGAGCTTCAGCCGTCTCTTTCTCAAACATCTGAATGGTTTCTTCAATTGATTCATGTTTAGTTTTCATCACAACTTTGCTGACTTCAAACAGTTTTCGTAGCTTCTCCGGATCACTCTGATCCGAGGGATTATACTGGAATGATAAAAGCAGATTTTAAGAAAAGATTTACATCATTACAGAGCTGGCCCCACTTATATAAAACATCTCAACTCTTGAGATTTCCTCAAATCTCAGATTTCCCATAGACAATACATTGCTTGAGATTTTCCTCAATTTTGAGATGTTTTATACCTGTGTATATAGACAATCATAGACTAACTAGTTAAAGTAAAAAAAAAATGGTTTATACTAAATTTGCATAAAATAAAAACATAAATAACTTATACGTCACAGTGGTACATGTACAGTATTTTGAAACTAATTTTAATAAGATTTGAATATTTTGAAAAAAACTATTACATTTGGCATTGCCAGATCTACAAAAACCTAAATTGTTAGTCTTATCACTTGAGAGTTTCAAAGACCACAAACTTTTATATATCTTAGCTTGATTCTATTTCAAATCACTTAATTTGTATGAAACATCAACTTTGTATCACAGTCGTACTGTACTTTGGAACTTTTTTCAAGGTTGATTGTGATATTACATTTGTCAATTTTTCATTTACAAATAACGAAACTCTCACCACTTACACTTTAATGTTTTTTTAAGACCACAAACTTTCTGTCTTAAATCCCAGCTTGTTTCCTATTTAAATTTTGCCTTATGAGAACTTACCCCTATAAAGTTTTCATAGAACTCCTCTACATCATCCTCAGAGATTTTCTCTGGCGTTGCCGCCATAACCCTGTCCCATTCCAATGGTGGCATCTTGATTCTTTATCTGTTGCAAAATAAAAATCTATATCATTATTGTTCCAAATTACAGTGCATGCATACTTGCCAACCTCCCTTTTTTGGAGAGAGACTCCCTTTTTTAAGCATTTACAAGCAGTGAATTTGCTAAAGTAAACTATTTTAAAAGTTGGCGCTTCAAAAACCAAAGCAGGAAATCTGTTCAAACTTTCCGCTACCACATACAGAAGATACTCTGTGTGGTTTTTAACCTACCTTCTTGTAAAGTTTCTAGCCTCATCCTCTGGTAAATACAGGGGTTGACACTAACACTAGTCCGCTAGTGCTGGACTAGTAGATTTAAGCAAGGACTAATGAAACACCTAACCTAACTGGTCCTTTGGACTTGTGAAAAATATTATTATAAAATAAAGATATGTTCCTTTTTAAAAATTTAGAAAACTGCTTAAAATAAGATATATTGCATGAAAATTGTCAAAATTTTCCTAAAACCATATTTCTATGGCAGTGTACATGCGACGCCTGTGTACATGTAGTTATTTTAAGTCCCCTACAGTCAATTGCTTTTGATGTTTCATGCTGTAGATTGCGATGTTTCCTTATCAGGAAATTTTGGACTAGTTACATTGACGAAGGACTAGTAAATTACCTATTCAACTAGTACTGTGGACTACCAAGCAAAAAAAGTTAGTGTCTATAACCCTGAATGTAGTGTTTGTTTCAGTGTACATTAAATATCCAGGCGCGTAGCTGCAACGTAAGCAAATAAGCATGCACATCAAAAATTCAATAAATACATTTAAATATTTTTTTTTGTGACAGAGTATAAAATCACTGCCTCCGCTAGGGATCGAACCCGAGACCTCTGGCTTACTAGTCTTACGCTCAACCGATCAAGCTAAAGAGAAGTTCTCTATAACCGAGCGATATATATTGCGGCTAGTATTTACCAGGGTTACATTTTTGTAGTCCGAAAAAGTGATAAAATGATGTGTGGTTCAATTGATAAATATATTAAATTTAACTGTATAACAGACAGCCGACAATCAGTACGTATCCAGAACCTAGGGTACCTGGTTTGGGGGACACAACAGCATGCCAAACAATCTGAATGAATTAATTCGTTCATATTGGCTGTCTTTCGCATTTGATGGCACGACAGAGTTTCTTGATTCCAATCAAAATCTTTAGAAGAGAACATATATACATTGTTGCAATCGATTTTATTTTTTCCTGCAGAAATATATTTTATTTTTCAGGACCAATGGCCCTACCCGAAGGTAATGTTATACTTCTCAGTCCAACATCCCCTTGAATACCTTTCGCACATGCAATCACAAGGCACTGCGTCAAATGTATGCGTGATGAAAATACAATAATGGGAATACAATGATAAACATACAGCTAGTACTAGGAGCATTACTGATTACAGTACCTCGCAATGATCAAACATGTACAGCTTATGGGTCGAATGCCGTGCAATCCGAGAAGTTTATTGATAGATTTTAATACATCAGTTGCCTCATTCAACACATTTTAAGTTCACCATCATCATAACACTTCACTGGCTATCATAAGCGACTTCAAACTTGATATTTTTGTTTACTGTGAAACATGTCGAATCACGACTCACCTCCTTCTATCTGTCTGTACTGATTTATCGATTGTTGATGGAGATATTTTATGTCCTCATCCCGAACAAGCGCTGATAGTTGTAATGTCTACCACTCAAGCCTGCTTTTTAAGACGTATTATCTAACGAATCACCAATAAAACTGAGCGGCAAGTATTCAAGTTTGAAGAATGTCCGCCATTATCGGTGTAAACATTATTAGACGCGAGTATCAACACAATTTCTGCCATTCGGAAACGCTAGGAGTTTTCATCTAAGTAATGATGTAGTAGATAAATTCCGAACTAATTTTTGTAGAATAAGGCGCAAGAATACATTTTCTCACTGCTTTTCTATTTTATTGCTACGATTGACGTCGGCTTAGGCAATGTTCATCAATTCTACAATATTGAAACGTATTTAGTGAACATAACTGCCTAAGCATATACATCGAGTATGATATCAGTTCGTTTGTTCCAGTCAGTTGTATTTTGTAAATTGTATGAACCCGCGGGAATTTCATTTTGGCTGCAGATGATGGAACCAGATTTAACGCCAGTAATGGAACTGAACGGGGAGATTAACAAGACCTACATTTAACAAAAATTACCAGGGGCTGAGCCAAAACTAGTTTATCTACGTTTATTGGCAACAATAGTCGAATATGTATGTATATCATTTAAATTCAATTTAAAGTTATAATGGTTTATCAGGAAAAAAGAAGGAACGTTTACCTATCAAGGAAAAATATCAAATGAATTTCCTCATTAATTTTAAATGTAGAGTAAGCAAAACAAGATGGACGCGTTGGTTATTATTTTTTGTAAGCTTTCATTGGTGCTTATATTTGATATTATAAGTAACTGTTAGTGTTTAATTCTACAGAAAATGAAGAACACAGACTGTGGACAGATCTACCACGTTTTAAGTTTAGTAGCATTAGTACTTGCTGTGTGCTCAGCTTTAAATGGAGGACAGGGTTGTAGTAAACAACCGAGTGTTCAGGTAAGACATAAACCGACATCTTTGATATTTGGAATTCTTTCATAGAGATAATTTGGAGGACATTATGACTATTTCCACTCCTTAAAAAATAAAATAAAACTAGATCTATGTGTTATTTTGGAACAATTTAGTCTAGGTATATGACAGTTGACTCAATTGGTAAGACAACTGCTTATACATGTAAGACAGCTGATAAACTGGTACAACAGGTGATCAAACAAGTAAGACAGGTGACTGAACTGGTAAGACAGATAATCAAAAAGGTAAGACAGGTGACTGAACTGGTAAAACAGGTGATCAAAGAGGTAAGACAGGTGATCAAACAAGTAAGGCAGGTCACTGAACTGGTAAGACAGGTCACTGAACAGATAAGACAGGTGATCAAACAAGAAAGACAGGTGATCAAACAGGTAAGACAGGTGATCAAACAAGTGAGACAGGTGATCAAACAAGTAAGACAGGTGATCAAACAGGTAAGACAGGTGATCAAACAAGTGAGACAGGTGATCAAACAGGTAAGACAGGTGGCTGAACTGGTAAGACAGATGATTCAACAAGTAAGACATGTGACTGAACTGATAAGACAGGTCACTGAACTGGTAAGACAGATGATTAAACAATTAAGTAAGACATGTGACTGAACAGGTAAGACCGGTGATCAAACTGGTAAGACAGGTGATCAAACAAGACAGGTGATCAAACAACTAAGACAGGTGATCAAACAACTAAGACAGGTGACTGAACTAGTAAGACAGATTATCAAACAGGTAAGACAGGTGATCAAACAAGTAAGACAGGTGACTGAACTGGTAAGACAGGTTACTGAACTAGTAAGACAGGTCACTGAACAGATAAGACAACTGCTTATACATATAAGACAGCTGATAAACTGGTACAACAGGTGATCAAACAAGTAATTTAAGACAGGTGACTGAACTGGTAAGACATCAAACATGTAAGATAGATGAACAAACAGGTAAGACAGGTGATCAAACAAGGAAGACAGTTGACTGAACTTGTAAGACAGATGATCAAACAAATAAGACAGATGACTGAACTGGTAAGACAGGTGATCAAACAGGTAAGACAGATGATCAAACAAGTAAGACATGTGACTGAACTGGTAAGACAGATGATCAAACAAGTAAGACAAGTTACTGAACTGGTAAGACAGGTGATCAAACAAGTAAGACAGGTGATAAAACAGGTAAGACAGGTGATCAAACAACTAAGACAGGTGACTGAACTGGTAAGACAGATGATCAAACAAGTAAGACAAGTGACTGAACTGGTAAGACATGTCACTGAACCGGTAAGTCGGTGATTAAACAAGTAAGACAGGTGACTGAACTGGTAAGACAGTTGACTCAACAGGTTTACAGTGCTGACTGAACAAGTAAGACAGTAGTAGACTTTAAAGGTTAAGACAGGTTACTTGACAGGTTACCATTGATTAAATAGGTCGCTGATACTGCTGACTGAACAGGTAAGACAGCTGATTGAACAGCTAGGTCACTGATAATTGCCTGACTAAACAGGTACAATTCTTAATTGATTCCAAAATGAATTAATTTGATTTTAAATTTGTTGTTTAAATCAAAGAATTGATATAAGGCCAAATATTAAAAAAAACTTGTGTTTGTTGTTAAGTTTTTATTGGCATTTAGTGATATGCACCGTTAAAGTCGGAACTCCTATTCTATATAAGCATATTAAAAACATTTTCCAAAATAAAATAAAATTGCCTACCTACCTACCCTTTTAATACGCCCGTCAAATTTGACGGGAATATTATGGTATGGCGGTGTCTGTCCGTCCGGTGTAAAATTTGTTTGTCCGGCAATCTCCTCCTACATTTTTCGACCGATCTCTTTGAAACTTGGTATACATTATAATCATGATATGAAGTTGGTGTTTCCTTTAAAAGAATTTTGATTCAACAATTTTTCCAAAAGTTATTGCCCTTTGTTCATTTCAGTATTCGATTTTTGTCCGGAGATCTTCTTCTACATTTTTCGACCTATCTCTTTGAAACTTAGTAGACTTTATAATCATGATATGAAAGTGTGTCTCCCTTAAAAGAATTTTGATTCGACAATTTTTCCAAAAGTTATTGCCTTTTTTTTTATTTCAGTATTTGATTTTTGTCCGGCAATCTCCTCCTATATTTTTCTACGGATCTCTCTGAAACTTGGTATACTTAATAATCATGATAAGAAGTTGTGTCTCCCTTAAAAGAATTTTGATTCGAAAATTTTTGTAAAATTTATTGCCTTTTGTTCATTTCAGTTTTTGATTTTTTGTCCGAAGATTTTCTCCTACATGTTTTATAGCATATCAGCTAACCTTCAATGTAAGAAAGTATATAACACTATATGGCATTCGACGGGCATATTTTGTTCTGCCCCGCGGTACTCTTATTTTTTCTGAGGATGTTGATGATACTGGAAACACAACTATTTTTTTTGGCCCAAGTATATGCGACTAATATATCTTTAAAGAAAAGGAGGAAAAATTGGTAATTTAACCTACATAAAATTACTAAATTGATCAGTTCAGCCCATCACATATATAATACTTAATCTTCTGTATTCAGATTCGGTGTTACATTATACATTTCAGGCTGTTGGATATCGGTCAGTAGTGAAAGGGGATGTTGCCTTGGTCTTATGTGAGTTCAACTATGATTCCAGTTTTATGGAAAACAGCAGTTTTAATTGTGTATAATGTTTGCGGGGGTTTCATTAGTAGCTGGTAAAAATACCCTCCTGCTACAAATATTTCACCAGCTACTTCTATTAAAAAATGAATAGAATGGGTTATAGGAAATATATTGAAATTAACCGCTTACAATTGTTTTTGATACTTATATACACACAACTTGAAATCTTATTGAAACCCTAGGCCTGTATGTGGTGTTCTTTATTTGGAAATTTATTTCAATTCTTATAGTACGAGTTGTACTCCTTATGAGATTTATCATACTCATCCCAAAATTTCAATTTCTTTTTGCCAAAGGCTAACAAATTAAAAAATGCTAGATTTATTACAACTCTCAAACTTATAAACTTGCATTTTCTAAATTCTTGGTGTTGATGCTCCATCACTTACCTAATTAATTTTGTAAAAAATGGAGGAATGGTGGCACCTCGGATTCCTCCACTGGTACATGGATCGGCCACTACCCACAGGACATTGGATCTCCTCGCCCAATAAAATTGGTGTACCAATACCTTATTTATTTTAAACTCCTTCACTTATAATACACAATGCATTTTCAGTGTACATTCATTTTCAGATGCTGACATTTTCAATGATGGAAATTTTAGTGTGCACATGGAGGTCATTGTGAAGAAATGCTGTTTATTTCTACCCAAAGAAAAATACTGCAAGGTATGTGTTTAAGCAAATTAATCTACAAAATCTTATCTTCATCTTCCTATAGATCATTTGCATTTAATATAAAAATAAAATCATCTTCAAGTCCAAAGAGGTCAAATGTGTTAAAATCCCTTGAGCAAGTAACAACTGAATAACAAAAGAAAGAGCCAGGGTAATGATATTCGTCTTGTAGCATCAAGGAATAAAGAGCTATCAGAAAGACTTTGATTGCCCTCTAGGGTCACAAGGGTCAAATTTGTCAAAACATTACGAAAAATTCTGCCCGGTCACAATATTGGGGTCGGGATGAAAGGTTGTCCATTGTATAAGCTTACCGTTTCTTTTATCTTGGATACTTTCAGGGCATGAATTTGATTGGGGATCACCAAGGAGATGTTCAGCCAATGAAATCAAAGCTGTTCAATTTTGTGTATCCAACACTGGTAATATTAAAAACAAAAATGAAACAAAGTATGTGAAAGGAAGTTTTAGGATCCAGGTTGCTACATGTAATAGTATTATGATTATGTAAGCCTTTGATTCTTTAAGTTTTATGCCACTGATTTTATGTTTAAAACAGGAATGAGATTTTGAAATACTGCTTAGGCCAAAAAAAAATATAGTCTGTTTAGGGTTGCATGGGCAAAAAAACAAGGGTAGGTAGGTCGGATTTTTGTTTTTGTTTTTTTTGTTTTGTATATTTTTATGTACCTTGTGGTCATGTGATTATGACCCTACTATTGTATGTAAAACAAAGAATTACATAAACAAGGTTCATTTGGAGGCAAATTGTGCTCCATATGATGACATATTTAGCGCCAACACGGAGCTGGAAGCCATTTTGAAAGGCTAGGAACCTTCTAAAATTCGAAAATCAGCGGGGTTTTGACCTTAGCCACACAACCTTCTTCTCAAACTTAAGACATAATATGGACTCTATGACTTAATTGTATTGGCCATAGATCTAGAATAAGCTAAATGAAAATAAACTTTGACCTTTAAGAAGGAAAAAAAAATCTAGACATTACACTAAAACTGCTTCAAACCAGGACACATGCATACATTACACAGAAGAAGGCACTTTGTGAAATTATGCTAATATGGCACTTAAATTTTTATTTATTTTTATTTTTTTTTGATTAAGGAACTTCCTATAATGTTTAATCCAGAAATTACGATATGCTTTTATCATTTTCCTTCCAGTATCCGTACGATCGTGAAGGAAAATGTGAGCTGCTTGTTTCAGCCAACACATCGTGTGACGGGAGTTATCGCGAGGTCATTATCCCATTTAATACACGGGTACCAAGGGACTGGTGGACAGACTGGTTGCCACACTCCATACAAAGTAAGTGTTTCTATTTTGCTCTACTTGAAGAAATCAGTAGATCTATAACAATATCTTTCGTCACTATGTTCTACAAAATTGTTGGAAGATATGATACTCGTCTGAAAAATGATCAGCTCATCAGTTGATCAGGAAGTACTTTGTTACGTCACCACTAATGTTCTTAACAATCCTACCAATCCAATTTTTGACTGATGATCTGTCAGTTTTCTCAAGTTAAACTATAAAAGAAATATGAAAACTTACAAACTGCTCTATATTGGGAATTAACTTCAATATGGTGGTCATGACATTCTATGTGTAGAAAATGTCCAAGGCCAAACAAAATAGTAAGTGTGTTTGCTATACATTGTCGAAAATTTTATTATAAAGAATAATTTTATGTGGTTAAGGAGAGTGATCTTGATTTTAAAAGTGTTTCTTTGAAAAATGCCTAAAAAGTGTAAGGGTAGGCACAAACAGTTAGAGTAGGTAGGGTTACAAGAAACAATATTTTTTGTTTGGTCCAGTCTGTCGCTATAACAGAACCAGCTAGATACTGGGACAACTTGAGTTGCTAGATCACTGGGATAGCTGTATTGTTTGGATGCATGGATTAATTTGACTGCCTCTTTTCTCTGTTTGTTTGTGGTCTATAAGTTGAAAGTTTTGCATTTTGACCATTTCAAATTTATGATAGTGTAGAATGTTCATGTTAGCGGTGCCGCTACAATATAAATTTCAAGTGTAAATGTGTTAGCGTGAAACGAGGGATTTCAGTTAAATTTTGACATGTTGCAACTCGGAAGTCAAGTAACGATTTCTCCTATAATTTTGAGGGTCAAAACATATTTGAAAGAGCAAGACATTTCAAATCCTAGAGTCAAAGGTCTTCAAGGGAGTCAGAAACATACTTTCAAGGTCTAATGTCAAAGCCATAGAAACAAGTAGTTGCATCCGCTGTCGTAATATTGTTAACGAGATTTAACGAATTAAAAAATAAATAAAAAACATTTCTTGCGTAATAAAAATGATCTGCAGAAGATAAGAATTTTCCCCAGCTGTACTGTTTGGTGTCGGTGTGCGAGATTGCGGAGGAGTTGACGAGGACAGACTGAGATCGTGTGTTCCTGTCAATTGTCAACTCAAGTATGGAGGGACGCGCAACTTCTTCAATTCTACAGAAAGGAAATGTATGGCAGTACCAAAATGTGGAGCAAAGGTATAATGTCATAAACTTTCATGTCAAACCTATTTCATCCGTTTCTAGCTACTTAATCAGTAACAAATTACTTAAGTAACAAATAACCTACTTTTGACTTTTCTGAAATGTGCGACTTTTTAAATCAAAAACATTTTAATTAAAACTAAAGCTATAGAAATTTGACTAAGGTTTAGGAACATTTCTTGGATGACCTGCAGCCAAATGAAAAACAAATGCATTACTTGTCATGTGTTTGTAACGAAACTTAGATGATAATACTTGTCTATAGCTACTATTACAGGTAATGAGAGTAATTGTGTAACCTTGATATATGACCTCGGCATTGTATCATGTGACCATATGATGTGATCCAAACGCTTTTTCATGTGACCTTGGGATATGATTGATATAATACTGTATGACCTTGACACATGACCTTGACTTTGTATCATATGGCCTTGACATATGACTAAAATTGTATTGAATGAAAGTTGGTTGAGCTCCATTCATAAATATTGATGAGCTCTCTTTTAATGTAAGCACAATTATTTCTGTATTATGCATTATTATTTTTAGCTTTAATGTTAGATGTGATGACTGAGAGGTTAGTCTTGTGAGGAGAATGAGGTCCAGAGCACATTTTGTGCAGCTGACTCCACAATTTATTCACCAAACATAGCATTTTCATTATTTATGAAGTTATCTCCCTTGGACCAATTAGCAACTACAGCTAACTCTCATTGACCCAGTATATCCCTTATTCACAACAAAACATTTGTCACTTCGGTAAATTCAGGAAACATGACTATTTTTCAGATCAGCAATTTAACTCCTGTACTTACATTATTGTAGCTGTATGACCCAGTGAACAATGAATGCAGAGCATCCACTGACCACCTAGATAAGGAGATCTACACTCGTGTATTAAACAAGTCCAGTCTTCATGCCACTGTAGAGGAGGGGGAGAGTCCTAACTGGAGAACTCTGGTATGACACCTCTAGATGTGCCTGTGTTGCTTACCGTTTTTGATTGTCAAATACATGTATGAGACCTTAAATTATTTTGCTACCTCCAGGGAACTTCGAAGTTTGTTAGCAGTAACAGGTTGGCTACTAAGATGAGGTATTTAATGTTTAATAGTTATATAAAACAGGACATTATATAAATGTTTACAGTGCTTATGTGTATTTAAAGCAGTTTAAAAATTCTAACCACTGTGGCCTCTTTCACCAACAGCCAACTTGCATTGTTTTCAGACAATTTTTACAAAATGCATTGCAGATTCCAGAACTTCCATCTTTGTGATATGTATAACAGTTTGAGTTTGAGGTGGTTTGAAACCCTTTTGAAGCAATGTTAATGTACAATTTTTTAGGTTCAAGTAAAGGTTCAAGTAAACTCTCTACCATAATAAAACTGAAGTAAAAAACATTTCTCTTTATCCATCAAATTACATAGAATTTATAAAAAGAATGCCAGTTTGCTTACGTTCTACAAGTTTAGAGAAGGTTATATCATTAGACTGTATTCTAGTGAGTGTCAATCTAGAGGACCTAATTATTGGGACATTTATATTAGGCCAAAAAAAATATATAGTCTGTTTAGGGTTGCATTGGCAAAAAAACTAGGGTAGGTAGGTCAGATTTCTTTTCTTTTTTTGTATATTTTTGGTCATGTGATTATGACCCTACCATTTATTGTATGTAAAACAAAGAATTACATAATCAAGGTTCATTTGGAGGCAAATTGTGCTCCATATGATGACATTTAGCACCAACACGGAGCTGGAAGCCATTTTGAAAGGAATGGAACCTTCTAAAATTCGAAAATCAGCGGGTTTTTTAAAAAACAGACACCTTTTTTTTTTGGCCTTATGAAATTTTATGCAAAAGTGTCCTGGGATGGTTGCATTATGCTGGGCTTGACCATATCACTGATATCCTATAAGTATTATAATGGCTAGTCTATGCTAGGCCTGACCATATCACTGATATCTTATAAGTATTATAATGGCTAGTCTATGAACAGCCTGAAAAGTGCTCCAATTGATAATTAGGCCTTGGAAAGTGCTTAAATTTGTTATATTGCAAAAAGTGGTTGAAATCTTTAATTTTTTTAAATTTTGTCTCAAACCAATGTTTGTAGACGGTGTATAAAATAAGAAATGGTAACATTTGAAGAACAAGAAAAACTGATTGATCAAAATTCGTAATAATAAAAGGAAAAAAAATTGAGTTTAATAATATTTGAAATAATGTTGATTAATTATTCTCTATTGAACATTTCTAATGAGACCTCGAAAACTGTTTGAAAAAAGTCTTTATAAACTCAATATGAACAGAAAGTTTTACAATTTGTGTTTTCTTTCATTGTCACATTTCATTGACACAGGTTGGTCCCAGGCTGAGCTGTGGTGGCCACGGCCAGCTGTCAGATGACCATCTAGACTGCCGATGTGACCCACACTGGAAAACAGACACCACAAAGTCGATAGGACAAGGGGAGGTCACCATGATGTGTAACGTCCACCAGAAGATTACCAGGAAAACAAAGATCAGCTCAATTGTATCCATTTGATTTGATGCATATTAGATATTTTCTATCAAGACCAAACTAGACTTGTGTACATATTCAACAGATTTTGTGTACATGCTAGTACAAGTTCTTTCATTATGAGCCATACAGACCCCATGAACCTTCTACTTAATAATATGAATGTGTCTGCCAGGGAAGACTTTCAGACCCCATGGGCTTCTAGGTAAGTTAAAGGGGTGTGTGCACTAGGGAAACTTCAGACCATTTGAGCCTTTTGATATAACAAGTTTAAGATAGTGGAACTGCCTTTTCCAGCAGTCTGTGTGTGACTCGTTTTGTTCCATCCATGATTTGTATGGCTCTTAAAGTTATGCTGCCTGTCTGAGACATTGCTTTCACAAAAGGCAAAAATCCTATTTTTAGGTCACCTGAGACAAAGTCTCAAGTGACCTATTGCGATCGCCTTTTGTCCGTCGTCGTCCGTCGTCCGTCGTGCGTCCGTAAACAATTTACATTTTCGACTTCTTCTCCAAAACCCCTGAACCAATTTCAATGAAATTTTGCAGGGACCTTCCATGGACAAAGGTCAACAAAAATAG